CGCGGGCACGATATTTAAGTGCAATTGTTTACGATCGTTCCGCGAAGACGAGGCCTTCCGTCGAGCGTACTTATTCCGAAGCGTGTGCCCGCCTGTAGAAAGCTTTATCCCTGGTCCTCGAGCGGACAAGGTTTATCGTTTCCTCTATTAACCCGATTTTATGGCGTTCGTGGCAAATCATCCGCTGATACCACTTGCTTCTACTTCTTCTCCATGCAATTTCAAAATGAAACTGGTGATTTTGATAAAACAGCAACTGAACTGAATCTTTGGGCACCTTCCTCGGTAGCATTCGAAGGTAAAGTAATTCTTTAAAGTGTTTCAAGATATTTTACTGTCGATTTAATTGAATATTTACGATTTCACTACTTCGATGATGCATGATTTTACATTCGTGAATGAAAGTTATATAGAAAAGTCACTCTTTTTATTTTAAATAGAAAATACACACTAGAAAGTACCGTTTATTTGACGATAGTTCTCAGTTGGAGATTGTTTGTATGGATTGTTGTCTTGGAGAAAGTAGGGTATGGATAAAACTCTACGATAAATTTTATTCAATATATATTTTCTGTTACATTATTTGACTTACAAAATAATTTACAAACAATTTAAAACCACCCTAAAATTTCTAATTCTTATGTATTGTGGTTAAAATAAAAAACGAACGAAGTATACCATGTCTGAAATTGTGTCGAAGAATAATGTTTATCCGGATAAGGATAAATTATCTTCTCTAGAAAAAATGTGTTTCTTTTTCATTTAAACCACAGTACATAAGTACTGAAAATTTTAAGGTGATTTTACAGTTATGCCACGCAGTGAATATCAGAGTTCGAAAATAGTCTCGATCAGACGCAGAGATGATTTACGATGGTACCCAGCCGACGAATTGGTGCATGACCATCGATAAGTCCGTTGTAAATGATCGAATCGCCATGAACTCGCTCGGCGAGGATCGAAGTCCCGCACAATATATGTCTCGCTCGATCGATTTCGTCCTTGGCTCGGATCGGTATTTTCGTCGATGCAAAAGGAAACGGCGAGCCGCAATAACAGACGAGCATAAACGTAATCGTTGCGTGAACGTATCATTTGCCGCAATAAATCGGCGTGGATCGTGAACGACTATTGGCCAAAGGCGACACCGCTATCCCCATGGACAATCTGCGATAGTTGCAGTTGCAGCTGCAGCCTGCACGTGTTAAGTGCTCATCGTAGATCGTCTCGATCCATCGCGTCAGTGTTTGCTTGGGTGATTCGTGCACTCCCCATGTTGTCGTTCCAGCCATTTATTGATCTAAATTCCTGAGTAAATTTGCAGATGTATAAAGGAATCTTCCACGTCACTAGGCATTTTCTACCTTTCATCTGATTGCTAAAAAAAAGTTGTCATAGAATTGTATACCGGAATAGAATGAGATTAAAATAGTTACTCCTCGATGTTTGATCACATTCGATCTCAGTATTACTGACATAATTACTAACCGGTGTTTCAGTTTGAAGCCTTCCGGAAGACATAATGAACATCTCGAAACACGCAACGCGAGGGCCATTTTGCCCGAGGGCGTCCTTTTCAGTGAACATCCACAAGAACCCTCTTCGTTTGCCTGAATTTTAACCATGAAACGATTATCGTTCCCCGAAAAAATCCAGGGTGGTCCCTGTCAGTACATACTGTCCGATCGGTTTCAAATTACCATTTTTTAGCTTCTCCACATTGTCCAACAATTAACGACATTTTCGAAATTCCACAGAAATTACAAGACGAATGATTCGCAAACATTCTCAAACATCTTCCAACAAAATAAAAACGTAACCTGACATAGTTTCGTCACAGCCTAACTATTTCAGAAAACTAGGAACATAATCCGATCCAATCCAATTCATTCCGATTCTCAAACATTCCCAAACTTCCTCCAACAACATGAACAAAAAGCCCCAATCGTTTTCACCGCAGCTTAATCAATTTTTCCGTCGTCATTCAAATATTTTCCGTGAAAATGATCTCAGGTACAGGACTCACTCGGTCCACAAACGGAGCCACGCCCGCGATAAAGTTATCGGTGGTCGTGCCGGCTACTTGCTTATCGTGTTCACTCAGTATTCTCAGGATTTACTGCGTCGTTAGGTTTGCGCTTGTGTGAGACGGCCGCGATACTCGGCGCCATTTAGATCCTCTCTTCGTCTAAAGAGAGGAGGCTGCCACGAAGCCGGCAATAATCTGACGATCTCGATCGACCGCGGCGACCCACAGCGCCCATGTTTGAGTGTGTTTGCGTGGCGGGCGGGTGTTAAATGCGTTCCATCTGCCGGCAGAGGCGAGATTAGCCGTCATTGACGGAGATGCTGCCTCTGGGCCCGCGAATATGATCGAGGAACAGCTGAATAAAAATGATTTATACCTGCCGCGATGAGCCGGCGAAGATAGCGGAAATTCAATTCAACCTGGGATCACCGACACACATGCTGACTCTGCATGGTGTCCGTGAAATTTCTTCGGTTTTTATTGGCGAACCGTTTGCTCCACTTTCTCGCAATTGGATCTAATAGTGGCCGTTTAGACATTCTTGAAAGATGTGGGAACGTTTCAGTTCCGCGATAGTTCAAGTGCTGGAGATATATGGTTTAAGTGGACAATGGCATCCTTTGGTCAGACATTTCTATTCAAGGAATTGTACTCGGTCATTGGTGGAATCCCAAACAGTTAACTGAGATTTCGGAAAGAGTGTGTTTAAAAATTAATGAAAGGCTTTCAGGATATTGTTGAAACTCTTTTATTTTATCAGAATACTGGTAGCAATTTATATGACCCTCGAGTAATTCTATTTGCGCGACCGAAGCAAACATCCTACAAGAGCGACACGATCAAGGCAAAGCGACCACTGCCTTGGAATCTTAAACTAGCGGGTAATTTGAATTCTTAATCGTTCTCCGCCGAGCCCACGTCTTCGCGTTTTCTCTTACCAAAAAAAGCCACGAGCACTCCGACTGCCTCCACCGATAACAGAAACCACCTTTGCTGTTCTTGTTATTCCGGCCGCACAAAAGGGACCAGGTTCCGCGAAATGGTTGGACCAGCGGAGCGAATTTTGCAACAAAAACCCCGCGTGAACATCCGCGAGATACGGTTTCGCATAAAGGGGGTTCTCATAGAGCGAGGAAACCATCGGCGAGGGAGGCCGCCCACTTGAGGCTAATGGCGTGTCCACGAGTGCCAGCGTTCTTTAAACCCACTCTTGCTCGGTGCACTTTCCTTCCAGACTGTTTTGCACCCTCTTTTTGTCTTGAATTCTATATTATCTTAATCGGATCGGACGCATAGAAAATTCGGAGAAATACTGAATCTTCTATGATATACTTCGAGACTTTAATAAAATAATTCGAATAGTTCGACCTATTCGAATAACAGAAATTTTCTGACGAAAATACAGATTAGGCGTTTGAAAAAGAAATAATTGTAAAGGCCAATATGAAAATAATGTCACGATAATCCGTGAAACAATATTCATTACAATCCAAAATTCGATCATTTCGAATATTCGAAAACTTTGAATAATCGGAATATTTCGAATACTTCCAAAATTCGTGGATTCGCATAATTTGAGAACTTTGATTGATTCGAATATCAAATTCGAATTCTACTGCTATTCGAATATTCGAATATTCGTAACAGCCCTAGGACTAAATAAAAAATTCTTTTTCTTATAATATTAAAAAATAAAAGAAACGTTCAAAGCAGTCGATTTAAACACAATTTTTCGATTTTATAAATGCTTTCTCAGTATCCATTCGCAAGCTAGAATTGAGATCGGAATAGCTTCTTCTTTCTGCAAGATCAATCTCCCTCAAAAGGTCTCACGTACTCGTCGTCATTTTCGATTCATCGGTGGCTCGTAAAGCCAGCATTCGACTTCGATCGATTATTCCAGCGGGCCACTTGGAGAAGAAGTCGCCACCGCGATGACAATCGTGAGACATTTTTCCCTGTTCGCGCTGCTGGATCCGCCGTTAGCATTACCATCACGAACTCCCAGGCGAAGATATATTTTAGCGGTCGCCAGGGGACGTTCCGGGAATCGCGTTCCTTAAGGCGAGGCGGGCGTTACGTGACGTGGATCTCTGGAGATCGAGAGAGAGAAGGCACGATTCCGTGTCGTCGTCGAGGTGGACTCTTTTTCCTACCTAGGCGTGAACTTCGACTTTCCTCGACCTCGACACTATGGATAACCTACCGCACGGATTACGTCAGCGACTAGCACGTGAATTATTCAAGCGTGACACGAACGACAGGGATTAGCGTTAAATTGCCGCGACGTGGTCGAACGAGGAAGGACGATATATAGATCGGCTACGGTTCTTAACCTTCCTCCGTTGCAATTAGTCGCGTTGGAGTTTCATCGGTCAACGATTTACAGGCGATTGTTCCCTGCTAACGAGACTCTTTGTTCCACGACGCTACCGGGGAAATTGCGCGAATCTACGTTGGGACAAACTTTCCGCACTTCTGACGTGTTCGATTAGGAGACACCTAGGGTTAATTCACATATTTCACCTGTTTAACTGGGCAATCTTTCGATTGGAAATGAGTAACAGGCACTTGATTGATACAATAGAAAAACCGAACAAATACCGATATTTATTTCGGTTTTCGGTAATATATCTGTTTCGGTATACCTTTACTGGCATAATATCGGTATCAAAATCATACCAGTTTTAGTCCCTGCCATGAACCGTATTGTCATTAGACTTAAATTCTTCTGTAGGTTGCTACTGAAAAAATTTATGAACATATAATTTATTATAAACATTCAATCCTTAAAGATAATTAAAATAGACCTGAATACGACTTACCTTTCACCGATATATCATAATTATTATGACAGCACCATATACAAAAGGTGTCTAGAGAAGCAAGTGAAAGAGTATGGATGTTATGAATGATTATACTAGTTTGTGTTGTTGAGTAAGACGCTTAATCTAATCGTGAAATCTTTCAGAAGGACGGGAAACACCATTATCACCGCCGCCACCATCGAGCTCCTCCGTTCAGACGTCACCTCGTGGATTGGATTACACCTGCGGTCCCATAGATGGATCCCTGTACGCTGTGGTTCACCAGGGTGCTGCCGGTGGTGCCCGTGGTTCGCCATTGACAGTTTCCATGGACAGTGGCATCAGCAGTGCTCCACCGCAGCGACCAAGCCCGCCCGAGCCAGAGCCCGACAACCAGGCTCATGGTGATCTTGATAAACTCCTTCATGATATGATGCTTACTGTCGAGGTAGGTGCTTCAATCCTTTCATATAAACTCATTACCCACGGAACAGAAGTCTCTCCACTATCAAAGCAGTAATAAAATAGTAGTAAATAATTTAATTATCAAGCATAGAATCCTACAATGAAACATACACACATTAACCGCAATCCAATCATGATGCAATTCTAACTTACAAGGGAAAGCACGGAAGTGTCTCCCTCCGATTTTAACGAAACTTCGTATGTCTGTTAAGCAGTCAAAATTAAGGGATACGTATTTTCTTTTATCGCCTGAGACGCGACTTTAAGGGATGGAACCACCCCTTGAAATTTCGATGTGAGATTTTTTTTTTAAACAACTTATATTTTGGACAATTTCTTAGCACCATATTATTCTACATAAAAAACCGCAAACCTCGTTCATTAGACGTTTAGATGTATCTCCTCTGGTTTTCGAGATAGTACTTTCGAGTCGAGATGGGTGGTTTCACCCCTTAAAGTCGCGTCTCAGCCGATAAAAAAAAATACGTGTCCCTTATTTTTGACTGCTTAATAGACATACAAAGTTTCATAAAAATCGAAGGGGGACCCTTCCATGCCTTCCCTTATTAGAAGAATCCTCGAATAGAAACATGCCATTCTTTCTTATCCTAAGAAATATTCATTAGTCCAAAGAGGATGCAAAACAGTATATTCTCTTTTTCTGCCCAGTCGATGCCGGATCCTCCGTCAGAGGACTACAGAGCAGACAGAAGCGATAAGATGTACATCCAGGAAACTCGTAGCTACAGCAGTCACACGAGCAATTCTCCATCTACGTATTCCACTCTGAAGGACTCGTACAGAGGCTGGAAAGAGTCCAGTCCACCGTACAACTCGAGCAGCAGCTACAGCACCCTGAAGAACGAGTACAGAGAACCGGCCAAGATCGAGCATCGTCGCGAAGAGTTCGATTACCGTGTGTCGCCTGATCGAAAAATGGAGTCTACGACTGAGTCGTACAGAAAGCACAACACGGAGTCCTTCTCACCGGCTGGGAATATCGATTTTATCGACGAGGACATCCCCTATCACGCCAGACAGACCAGCCAACCGTTCTCGTACGGGGCGACCACGGACATGATCAAACACCAAAAACTCTCGTCGCCGTCTTTGGTCAGGAAGGCTTCCGTTAGGGGCGCCGCGCCTGTGGTGGACTTTGAGGACATCCTGGGGGAGAACTCGAGGCGACCCATTAGTCCTTTGAGCCCGAACACGCCCGATCCGCCGCCGGAGTTCGCTAATGGGCCGGTGAAGACAAGCTCGGACTATGTCGACGGGTAAGTGATAGTTTCCGTTAGGTACCTATTTCTGAAATTTTCAAGGCAACAGGGATTAGATCCTCGATCGAGTTTCGTCCCGTAGATTGAATATTTAGGAAACTTGAGACTTTAACTATCGTACCCTATTACAATTAGGTGCCCCAATGAGTAGAGGATGAAATGGGAATATAGTTTAAATGTACTATAGTTTGGACACCCTCCAATCCAAAGTCCATACTTTCGATAACCTAAAAGATAAATCATTCGGACGACACATTAAGGTAAAGATTCATAGAAGCGTGGAAGGAGATACCTTAATTCGACAGAAATTTTCCTGGATAATATCTTCCATCCAACAAGCTTCCGGTCGTCAGATCGTTAATAGCCACATTAGCCAGCGATCCTCAGTTTCGAGAGGGGTTAAATCTCCGCGGAACGACCGGGGAGTATCATTCTCGTCGTTTACTGTCCGCGAAAAAGCGCCCAAACGTCGGCTGACTCACGTCTAGGACCGATTAATGGCGGTCCATTATTCCCAGCGAATCCGTGGCGCTTCCGTCCACTCTTATATATTTATACCTCTCAGACTGATTACGGAGACCCTTTTTCTGGCATGGTTCCACGGCAGCGCGATCGTCAACTTCGCCCAGTGTAACAAATCCCGTAATTAAATGCTCAGACTCCGGTCTAATAATACACTCGAGTGGCGCGCGTCGTCCGGCGGAACAGCGTTTCATCACGCTCGATATATGTCGCGAACGGCACGGCCGCTTATTGTGAAATGAGAGATTAGGCGAGTTTTCACGGTGGTGCGCCGCCAACCGTGGAAATCGTGTGTATGGTGAGAGCGGGTCGTTTCGGCTGGCAGAGCCTCCAGACGATCGGTTGGCCACGATCGTGTCGCAACGGTCCACCGAATCGGGCGCCGCAAAAGATCCCCCTGAAGGCTCGACGCGGATCACCGTGGAAAAGATCGAGAGGTGGCAAGCCAGGCGAGGGACAATTAATAAATTGTCTACCCATACGGGGGACGCGATTACGGCACTCGCCGCGCGTTTCTGCCGCGAATGGCCAATGCGGTCGTCCGTCGTGAGTCATTGTCGTTCGACCGGGGCAAGTGGAAAAGAGAAAAGTCGTCTTATGAAATACGAGGCTCGCGGTTTGCGGATGGATACTGTTACCAGTCGAGATGTCGACGCGAGTGCCTGTCATCCCGATGCGCTGCGGCGATGAGGAACGAAAATTATTGGGGTTAGATACTTTTGGAGGTCTAGGGGTTTGGAGAAGCAGAGATCTAGGGGATAGAAAACTCGAGATTCTTGGTGATTTAGGGATCTTGGAGTTTGGGGAAGTAGAGATCTAGGGGACAGAAGACTCGAGATTCTTGGTGATTTGGGGATCTTGGAGTTTGGAGATCTTGGTGTTTGGGGGAGTAGATATCTGGGGGACAGAAGACTCGAGATTCTTGGTGATGTGGGGATCATAGAGTTTGGGGATTTGAGGATGTAGAGACCTGGGAAGATTCTTGGAGATTCTGGATGCTTATGGTATGGAGGTTTGGGGATGCAGAGACCTATGGGCGGGTAGACCAGGTTAGGGATCAAGGGCTGTAGGTCAAGGAAGCTCGCGCAGATTCTAACATTTAAAAGGTATGATTCTGGATTCCAAAGACTTCCTGAGCCTAAAATACTGAGGCTATCCCAAGTCTTAGGGTATCCTTAGTGACTCTAGAACCTGAGAAATCGAAGATTAGGATTGCCACTAAGAAGAATCCGAGATTTAACTTTCTCAAGCTTTACATCTGGTTTCTCGACTGTTAACATTCTGGATGCACCACATCCGTCAGACAAATCTCCCGAATCCAGTATACCGTTGGACAAACGTAGCGGGAAGATAGCGTTCACCGTTCAGGGAGCACATTTTCCACCCGTCGACGGTGAATTTTCACCGAGCACTGGGCCGAAGAAGGAGACCTTTTTTCCAGAATAATACAACAGCTAAAGCCCGCAGAAAGTGGTCCGGAAAGGACGACGGAAATACGATCTCCCGCGGTGGAAAATTGTAGGAGGGTTTACGAGCCGCTTTTGTGCTCCCGTTTCTACTTCGAATGACTTCCGCAGTCGAGTGCCGTTCCTCGGGACTACTCGCGGGGATGCCGCGCGAGGAACGGAAAAATTGCCAGTGGAAAGGGATACACTGAGAACGACGGAGAATTATAAAGAAGACGAAGAATGAACCCAGCGCGCGGGAAAGGGACGGGGGCGGACTTCGGCCGTTTTAGCGCGTCTCGTCTGTTCTATATTTATAATTATGTCAGAGGGCGAGCCCAGCCCAGAAATAGGTGACTACTCTCTCTGTCTGTCTTGGAAACACTTTTTCCTTCGTTCTTTATTGTGGAAATTCCTCGAATTCCTACGAGGAGGACCTCCTTTCGGAGATGTTCCTGTGAATCATACGGACCTATAGACCCAAGAAGACTCTAACAAAGCTCTTCCAATTTCAAAGTTCCATCTTAGGTCCATAAAAATACAGAGAATCTGTGTCAGGTGGCTGGACCAATCATTGGTAGACTCTGGAAACGTTTGATTCTTTCAGTTTGACGATTTATTCGATCAGTTCGGATAGTTTTACTGCCATCGCCTTCTGCAGTCTGGATAGTTTCTCGAAATTCCGAAAAGGCGGTGCCTTGCGGTTTCCCTGAAATTACGGTAAACGTTCGGCATTTTCAACGATTGTTTTCCGTGGAAACGGCTCCCGTAGAAGGGCCATAACGGCGGTCGGAGAACCTGAAAACCAAGTCCTCGAGACAAGGAACGGGAACGGTGAAGCCCCGAAAGGAGAACTTCTTTGCCGGTGAGAAAGCAGACCTGCCAAACGTCTGTCGAGCTCCTCGACCATAAACGTCGCCTGTTTCTCCACCGTGGCGGCCGCAGTTTTTCATAAATATCCGGGACGAAACCCGTGGTTTCGCGAGCCGGCCACAGGGTCGACGTTTATTTTCACGGCTTTCGAAAGGGGCCTGGTCAACCGATACACAAAACTGCTCGTACTTTACGACGACGCCGGTTATCCTGGGGTTCGACGTACTTCTCTTCGTGGTGAATGGTTAACAGACTCGTTGAACGCGCACCTCTCTTTGGATAAGAATTCTTACGTCTTCAACTTTTAACAAAATCACAATTTGTATTTATACAATTATTACTCAATTGTTTAACGTCAATTATACAGAGTGATGCAAAAAATAGGGTTCATAATTTCTACGGTAGATAGTACTCGCCAAATGATCAAAAAAAGTCCTACTACACATGATTAATATACTCAAAGTTATAAAAAATTGATCGTACTGAAGAAAATGGTAAGAAATTAAGAAAAATAATAAAGAACCTTTAGTGACCAGAAAAAGAAGACATGATAACCGAAACAAGAAATTGTAACTCTGAAAACATAAATTTGTCGACCCATGTTTATTCAGACCTTTTTTCATCATTTGGCAAATACTATCAACCCCAGAAGTAATGAATCCCCTTTTGTATCACCCTTATATATATATTCCTCGAAAATATTCTGTCCCATGAATATCATCCTTTGCTTCTTTAATCAGTTCCACTTTATCACACGTCCTTTTCCTCGACAGTCATACGTTTAATAATCAATAAGCTCGTTTCCCCAGAACGAACGGATTAATTTCCCTCGGCCAGCTAACGCAATAACCGGCCCACACGCGAGAAACTGCGTTGCATAGAGTAAACGCATCATCCGCAACGCCATTACGTTTTACGATCCTCCCGGGGCTCGCCAGGGTGTGGCTCCATATTCTGGTAGGCCAAAGTATAAATTTCGATCCTGGTGAATAAAAAAAAAAACAGAAACGAACGAGAATAGCGGTCCATTTATTGCAGTGCCGTGGAATGAGGGATCGTAGGGAGGGGGGGGGGAACCGATGGCCCGAAGCGACCTCGTCGATCAGGATGCAATTATCCGGGATCTATCGCGGTAGGAGGTCCTGATTCTGGGCCCTCTTCCGACTGGTAACCGTGACGGGCCGGTTTGTTGCTGTTCTAACGAGGCTTTGTTACACGACTCGCGCGCGTCTCGTGTTCTTCTGCCCCCTCCCCCCAATGCCACCCCACGTGAAAGTGGCTTCTCGTATTTTCATCTGGTTGGTAACTCGAGTCGGTGTTAGAACGCGAAAGCGAGAACTCCGTGTGTACGGAATGAAAACAGCTGCTCCACGCGGGGACAGGCGATGCTTATCGGTGGACGGATGATAGGGGAATCCTTTGTCGATTACGTCCTACCTTCTTGCTGCACGGTGGATCTTTGTACCAGTTCGAGGAGAGGCCCTGCAACGTGGAACTTGCACGATGCATAGTCCAAGTTTCTCTTGAGACTTATATGTATACAGGATTATACAAAATGAAGGGTTCTTTTAGAGTAATTGGCCATTGGTAGCTATGAACGCTCTTTTTGTATCACCCTGTAGAATGGTTATCGAGTAAGATCGGAAATCTTGCAGAGACATTCTTAAAGGTAATAGAAAGAATCTATTTACAGAAGCAGTGGTAAATTGTTTAAGCCTCCTTTTACAATTCCGAGACTTTATACTGGAAACGAATATAGTGACTCGAACGATTATTCTAATTGTAATAAATTTGAAGTCTCAAGTGAACTTCTTAGCATACGCTCGATATTATATAGTTTGTGCCTATCATGGGTGGCATAAGTTATGGGGATCGTGAAAGTTCCGACGCACGCAAAGTTTCACGTTGCCTCCCTCGCTGCTGTTGGCAGATTATCCTGGCTGAGGCAGCAGCAGTTGAAGCTCGCTGCGAGAAGGGATGAAAGAAACCCAGGCAAACTATGGCGACAGGAGACCGGAAACCGTGTGATCGGCGAGCTGAGAAGCTTGCAAAGAGGAAGGCTGAGGCACGATGGATACGCGAGCGATTCGGCGGTTCTGGATGACGACGACGAGACGTGGACACCGCATTCTATTTCCGGACAGGTGAGAAATTTTTCCAAAAAATTGATTTTAATTAATGTTACAAGTGACGTCAACTTCGATACATTATTGCACTAATCGTAGTTGTTTGATTATTTAAATCTACTCTCATACAATTGTGGAATTTGCAAGGTCACACTTGATCTTGATTATACTGTTTGAAGACATTTTATATAAGGAAAAGTAGCAGTCTAGTATATTATAAGAGTCTGTGGATGTAACAAAGAAATTACGAATTTATATATGTACATAGACTCAGTCGAGGCCACTTCCGTACACCTCGGCGCCAGCCAGTCCTCTGCTTCCGCAACGATCTAGCAGCCGGAAGTACAACGGTACCGCCGGAACAACCGGTACACTAGGAAGACCACGAGCGGAAAGCGTGAACGAACGTCCCTTCATGTCGGTGAAACGTGCCTACGAATACCGCAAATACGGCGACAGCCAGGTAAGTGGTCTCAAACCACCGAAAAGAAAAACCCAGAAAACTTTAGTCTTTGGTTGTTAGTCTCGCTGGAATCGATCGTTTCGAGAAACGGAAAATGTTTTATCGTTCTTTAAAGTAACAAAGGCACAGATCGTTACAACGAACATTTATTAAGTCGTTACGAACAGCTGGAAATGCAACGAGTGATTACCAGCGAAGGGAGGGATCGGTGTAACCCCGAAGCATCGGACTACTTAAAATGATCGTTGGTAATACGGATAATAAATTCGAAACGGCGGCACAACCGATCGATTCCGGCATGCGCCGATGAGAAAGCGGCAGCGCACGAACGCTACAATTTAGTCCCCCTCATAGACAGCGACTGTAAAAGCGACTCCTTTGCCCGCCGTATTTTATGGTTATGCCCCCACAGTTAGATCCTAAACAGCAAGAAACAGTCCCCCTTAGACTGTAGACCGCAGGAACGATCGCGTAGTTATAGGAGTGCAGCTTAAACCCTTTCTACTTGCCATCCTTTTCGACCAGCTGCTGTCCCCGGTGTCTCTCGATAGGTATTTACTCGAGGGGGAAACATATTTCTGAATAATTTATACCGTTCGCGTAACCAGCCTTCATTCTTGACAAACTTTCGTCTCATTTCTTCATGAAACTTCCCTCTTCCCAGTAATTACCTAGTATGAGAATTTTTTGCGATTTCCACTTGAAGGTATTCCAACTAAAATCCACGAGTTTAAATCTTGTACATACACCATAAAAACGAGATTAATACGATTAATAAAAAATCAGGCCCACGCAAAACACGCTGGCAGCACTTAGAAGGTTTACCAAGCCGTAGCTCCCTTTAGCATGAACAGCGCTTCGCTTGCTTTTCAGAGCCCTCCGACATCCCCCCGCTCAAGCTTAGCCGCCGCCCAACCCTTAGGATTATCAATGCAGCAACAGGCAACGTTTATTAACACGGAGAAACCGCAACCACCGCGGCCGGAGTCGCGGAGCGACAGTTTTGCCCGGGCGGACGCTTTCTTGCGCGAGCATCGGCAGCAACAGCAGCAACTGGCCGTGAACAACAATATGGGGAATCACGTGGAGCAGCAGAAGCAAACGATCCTGCAAGAATACGCCTCGATTCCAGGTCGAAATACACGACCGGAGTCGCGAAACCGATTATATCAGAGCTGCACCAGAGTGGCCAACAACGACAGGATCGCAGACCACATGGACGCCGGATTGCTGACTGTAGTTGACCAGCAATCTACAGCTCAGACGACCATTAACCCTCTCGTGAGCCTGATTCAGTCACTGGCCGACATTTCGCCCGTTCGATCTCCATCCGTGACTAACAAGACCGAGAACGATCATCCCGCGAACGTCAGCCAACCGACCACGACCACCTCGAGCAGCAACGTTGCTAACAGCACTAATTGCTCCCCTAACCAGTCGCCCAAAGCATGGCAGAATTGCACCCAGGTTTGTCCCGGCTATGAAGCCCCATCCCATGGAATCCTTACTTGTCGTTACACTTGCGATAGTGTGTTTTTTAGTGGCATTCAGCTTCTCTGCACAGGGAATGTGGGTAGGTTAGAGGATCCAATAACTGCTGTTGCATTTTTATCGCGTTATTGAAGTGCTAGGTTTAATTTTGTTCACAGGTGAAATTGTAAGATGTTAAAAAAAGGGTGGGATTAGCTCGGTTAGAGCTGAGATCTTTAACCCTTAACCCCTTGCCCTATGATTTTCTTGATGTCTGAGTTTTGACAATTAATTTATTGTCAATAGTTCTCCAGAAACAAAAGGAATTCTTGTATTTATCGCAATTTTACATTTACTCTATAAGTTGAACGTTAATATCAGCAAACTAGTATTTCACTTTAACTCAAAGAAAACGAATAATATTTATGTTTGTTGAATCCATTTTGATATCGTTAACATTACATGTTAAAATCGATCGTCTTTATTATTAATACAAACAGAGGTTCATGATTATTGATATTTTAAAAAAGTGGGTGAACCTACTGACGATTCCCTGTGCACATTTCTTTCAAGTATCAGGTTTGTACATTTCAATAGACATTCCAAGGTTGCTTGTCACTGCTTTGCCTGACCACACAAATTAGAAGCGTGCAGTGTTTTACTTTTTCAAGAAATTTTAGCGAGATAGGCGCGTGACGATAAAAGATCGATGTATATTCACAGTCGCACAATGACACGGTGTCATCGTGGACCGAGAGGAGCGTCAGTCCCGGAAGCGCCGTGGTCGGTGGCGCCTCGAGGCCCCAGACACCGGCGTTTCCGGTGCATCCACGGACCCCGTACGTCAACAACTCGTCGCCAACGGTGACGTTCGCCTCCGATCGCGCTTACATCACCTCGAACTCTGGCTACAACGCGAACAACAATAACAACAACAACAACGTGAACAACATTGAGACAGGCGGGAACAACAACAACAACGTCGGGAACTACGCCAGCGAACGAACGATCTACATCGAGGAACGAAGAGACGTCTCGAAGGAATCGGGGCTTCCACCCAAGAGTCCGACAACACAGAGGTAAGCAACGCTTTGTTGTTCTTGAGTAATTGTTAATGTGTTTTATCCCCCCCCCTGCCCACCCCGGTTTAAGCCGTCAATAACGTTTGAGTTCCCTGACACTTACCTTCACGGTGTGATTTACACCTTGATTTAGACACGAAGACAAAAAATATCTATTCTGAATAGATCATGAAAATTTCAAAGAAAAACTACACTATAAATTAATTGATTGACAGTAAGGCGAAGATTATAGTGATTTTATGAGTATTATAAATTAATTGTACTTTCTGACCTCACGACTCGTGAACATGTCATCGGGTATCGCGTTTTACCTGTCGTCGAATTCTATAAGAATATTTAATATTTCGTCGAGCACTGCCGAATAGGCGACGATTATGACGCAGATTGATATTCGTGATTCTAGACGCTTGAGTTTCCCGGCAAGCGGGCCACTTAAACAAACGCATAACAAACGATGGCCGCTCACTAACCAATCGGCGTCGTTCGACTATAGGTAATATATGTGTATCATCGTGAGCAAGCTGAAATTCACGAATTTTTCGTTTTCCGAACGACGGGCATGACCGATCGAACGCGGATCACAGAAACGCTGTCGATCACGCGGATGCCTCGTGAATGTTTAATGTCGTCGCCACTAACCGTGTGTCTGTGTGTATTGGTACACTTTGAATTGCAACTGCATCGTACCAGGAAACCAATTACGCCGCATACACGCGAAATTGGTATTTCGTTGTTCCCAGAATACAAATTCAATGATGAATATTTCGAAAGAATATGGAAACCTCCGTGGAAAATGATCGATGCAGTTGCACCAGTTTGCAGCAATGTTAAGATATTAAAACGAGGACACTCGAGACCCACATGCATTCGTCGTGTGTGTGTGTGTGTGTGTGTGTGTATTGCACCTGTCGAACTAACCAAAAAGCTCGAGCTTTTTTTTGCATCGTGTAATACCATCTCGAAAAGCATTACTCGTCCGCATCATCAATCCGAAGAGAACAGAAAGCTCTGAACGAAATGTCCAAAAAGAAAGATAAGGTTTCAATATAATTAACAAAATTTCAAATACATATATATTCTCGTCGATGATTTGTGTACATATATGTATGAAATGTCACACCGTAATTAGGCGAAAAAATGTTTATTCGCTCGATCTCATTTATTCTCTCTCTTTCTTTCTGTATTTTCCCTGTCAATATTTCTCTCTACGTTTCCTCGATCTTTCTCTCGTCTCTTGTATATATCACGTTTCCGATGTTTCTTTCTCACGGCGAGTGTACAGCCCACTTTGCACGAACTTCACCTGACAAACACACACCACACACGAACACAGAACGCCGCTGACTGCACGGAAAAACGATCTCCCGCCACGATACGTACCTTATAACGATATGTGCGATCGTTTCCTTGTAGCAAGGACCGATCTGTATCTCCGATAAACGAGTCGACGATGTCGCAGTCGCAAACCATCACACGCAGCCCCGGTACACCGACTCACATCGAATTCGCCCAAAGTCCCAAGGTACGCATATGCATGAAATATTTAACGAAATTAACCGGTGAACTGGTCTCTCGAGGATCGAAAAAAAAAAGGAAAAAAAAAAACGGACGGTAGTTACGGGATATGAGATTCAATTATTTGTAATTTGGAGCGCGTAGTGATTATGCAAATTCGAGACGGTTTTAAAATAAAAATTTATCGGTTCTGTCGAACTTTTAGAGCGCCGCGTCGTACACATCCATAAACAGCGGCGGTCAGTCGTCTCCTCAGGTTCAGTATTACGGCTCGAGACGGTCGAGCGTTCACTCGAACACCGAGCCTCAGGAAGTGGCCGATGCCAATGTTAAATTTGTCCGCGACACCAGCAGGATCTGGTACAAGCCAAACATATCTCGGGAGCAAGGTGAGTGTCTCGACTAACTGTTTCGTACAAAACGTTCTTTAACACGTTCGATACCACTGTATTGTTTGAAAAGAAAAATATTCGTCACAGACCACTCTAGGTTTCCGTCATTCGATTCAGTGGAGTGCTCTTACCATCTTGATTAAATAGATGTGGTGATCGAAATACTGTCTAGGGTCTAAATATGGGCTAGTGGAAAGTATAGGGTCATTTTACATTGTTCATTAAAATATTGTAGCAACAACTATGCTCGATTATAATTCCTGGCAGAGAAGAATAATTTTTCTAACAGCCTAGAGTCTAAATATGGGCTAATTGAAAGTATAGGGTCATTTTACATTGTTCATTAAAATATTGTAGCAACAACTATGCTCCATTATAATTCCTGGCACAGAAGAATAATTTTTCTAGCAACAAACGAAATGTTTTTCAGCAATCTCGATGCTGAAGGATGCAGCGCCAGGTACGTTCGTCGTTCGAGACAGCAACTCCTTTCCAGGAGCGTTCGGACTCGCCTTGAAGGTAGCAACCCCGCCACCAGGTGCGCCGAGCAGCCCAAGAGATCCATCCAGTGAGCTGGTCAGGCATTTCTTGATCGAGCCAACATCTAGAGGCGTCAGGCTAAAGGGATGCGCGAATGAGCCTGTTTTCAGTTCTCTGTCGGCATTGGTTTACCAGCACAGCTTAATGGCGATGGCTCTGCCTTGCCAGCTGTTGCTACCCGAGCCAGAAGCTGCTGCCAGGGCTCTCGACTCACCTGGTGCTAATAGCGCGCAGCAGTGGCTTGTACAGGGTGCAGGTAAGTGAATTCTGAATTTATGTTGTGACGCCAGATAAGACGTGGCCTGTGATAAAATTTCATAACAAAACATCGATAAATCTATCTAAATATCTAATAAACGATTTCGGGTTCGGTAAACTGATTATAGGATACTTTTCCACTTTGAGAAGTACCAGTCAAAATGACTGGTATTGGTATAAGTAGCCATGACACAAAATTATTTTGATTCTGAATAAATAAAGCAGAAAGAAAATTCATTATATTACACCTTTAGTTTTCTTTGAGTCGAAGTGAAATTCTGTTTCATTCGTATTAATATTTAAGATTTAGAGTAAGTAATACACTTGCCCTAAGAATAAAATTCCTAAAAAAAAATGCTTGACAGTACAGTCGTCAAATAAATCGTAAGGCAAGGGGTTAATCCAATTATTGGTAAATATCGGTTATTGACCGAGTTTCCATGATATTGATTTCAGCCTGCAACGTTCTCTACCTGTTCACCATTGACACGGAATCCCTGACCGGGCCCCAGGCCATCAAGAAAGCGGTCACGACCATGTTCGATCAGAAACCATTGCCCACCGCGACCATCGTTCACTTCAAGGTCTCCTCGCAGGGGATCACGCTGACGGATAACGCGAGGAAGCTTTTCTTCCGCAGGCATTATCCGACCAATAATATTAGCTACTGCGGCCTAGACACCGAGGAACGCACCTGGGACTCGTCCAACGAGGACACGGGACGACCAGTTAGCGCTCAGTAAGTCTTGCGATTTCGGGAAAAATTAATCACCGATCGATAATTATTAGACTGTCTAACTAATGTATCTAGTTGCAATTCGAACGAAACATTGCTACGGCTTTTAGCACGAAGAAACAAATTATTCTACTGTAAAAATGAACCGAGTGTTGCAAAAGTAACCGTATAATTTCAGTCGATGCTTCGGTTTCGTGGCAAGAAAACCAGCCCACAAGACGGATAATCAGTGTCACGTTTTCGCCGAATTGGAGCCAGAGCAACCGGCCACGGCGATCGTGAATTTCGTCAACAAAGTCATGATGGGCAGCTCCCTATCCAAGGCCAACATCGTCTAAATCATCCCTCCGTGTTCCCCTGGTCTCTGAGCTTCCCGAAAAAAAAACGTGTTCAATTGTATCAGCTCAGACGACAGCCGAAAGGATCGCGGAATCGTTTCGACCGCGGGTGTAAAACAACTCGAGGCGTCATAACGTTAAATCAGTCCTCGTTGCATTTCAATGAAACGTAGAATCGTGTCAGTAGAGGGATTGAACGTGTTCTAAACAATACAGTAGCAATTATCGGTAGGGATCGAGTCCTCTAGCAATGAGGACGCTCGAGACGAGATATATACGAAAGAAATTCGATTCCATCCTTGCGTTACACACGCTTGAGACAGAGAATGTTGTTAAGGAAGATCGTTACTGTTGGTAATTACCTTAGGGAATAGTAGAGTAATATAAAATATATTTGGGACGAAATGTGACGGTGCGGTGTTCGACGTGTTCAATTGATCGTTCCAAGTGAATTCTAAATAGAAAGTTCACTTTTCAGGTACTCTCGTAAAATCACGAATGTCATCCTATTGCACGCGATATTTCGAATGATCGGTCACAATACCAGACATTGTAACGAAAAAAGATTCCTAATGCTTATATTCTAAAATAGTCTAGACTACTGAAAATTTATATTATTTAAACATTGTAACTTTCTACGAATTTTTCTATTAACATATTTATCAATGTATACATCGGACAGTTATTCCGTTCTCAGTAATAATATATTTATTGAATTTACAAAATCTTTTATCGTAATTCAGAATGAATTGCTAGACAGAGATAACTGCCACCAAACTAATTTCAGGTCGAATAATAAGGTATGTTAAAGAATACCGGAACGTCACACTTCGCTTCCGAACACGAAACTATTACACGAACGATATGCACGCGAACGTACCGATAGCTGGTAGCCATAGTTGAGTACCGACCGTGCTCGTAAACAGCATTCGAAAGCGAGTACGTACGAATCGAACGAAGATGAATGCTAAGTGAAAAAGAAAAAACAAAAACGAAATGTATCATCTCTAGCGTACTCGCGTAATACGCATGCCCGCAGCTATGGGAAACGATAGTTGAAAGAATCCATGTTACGTTAACAAAATAATACCCACGTTATACTTCGGGACTCTCGAGTAATGTTTATCGATGATGTGTTACGTCGTCGCGTGGAGCCGACCTCGGAAGTGATATCGGTGCGGATATGGTGTCGTGACGTTTATAAATAAACTTGTAAATAAAAGCGAGCAGGAAATTAAACGCCTTGGTTAACGAGAACGTGGTGTGCGTGCCTGTGCCTGTAACCAGCCACGTTCTCTGGATCGAACGGAATTGACGGTGAAATTATAAAGCTACGTGGAGGACGAGGAGAATCGAAATCGACTCGGACGGCGTCAACGAGACGGAACAATATATGTAAACGATACTCGAAGAGGAGTAGCGTATCGAAACGAAACATCACATAATACACACGTACATACACTCATTCAGACATAGAATACATACATATACGTCATTTCGTTTGATGAGGCCCCCACTTTCCCCCCCTCACCCGTAGGTTCTTGCCATTTTACTCGTCCTCGCGAGCGACGTCCTTCGTTCTCCAAAATGGCCGACCGACGAAGGAAGCGTCCCTGCGCCGGGGACGACAACGATCAGTCAATTATTACGAAACAATTGTTAACATGTAATTACGACAATACCGCGCCACGAGAGGATCCACGATGAATGGGATCATCGTGTCCTCGACGTCGCAGCTGTTTTTTCGTCTTCTTTCTCTTCGTATTTCTTGTTTATCTTGGATGTCGAGGGGAGGATCGATCGGTGCCTTCCACGTTTCCTCTCCTTCCCCATTGTTCTCGATTATTCGATCGAAGTGGAACAAGAGGAGATTGGAACTTTCGTCAGACAACACTGTGCTAGTCAAAATTCGATGTGTATAACTCGGACAAAAGAAGAAATTCGATGAGTTAGAAGGACGGGTGGCGAGCCGATCTTTCTTCCCTGTCTCCCTCTCACTCTCTCTCTCTCTCTCTGTTCTTTTCGAAACGATCACGGATCGTTGTCTCGTCTTTATACGTATCATTTTCGTACACGTGGAGAAAAACCTGACTAACAGAGTAATTATTAATTTAACATCAGTCATTATAATAATTATCGATTATTACTTATTTACGCTCTATTATTACGTACGTTCACGCAATAATTGTATCGTTGCATGCCGGAACGGTGTGTCTCTTATAGTTGTAAACAATAATAAAACCATATTCGAAGCGTAATCGGGGGGAACGGTTTCATTTTATCCTCGACGCGTCGATTCCATTACGACGAAGAATTTGTTATGTTTACGAAGTGATCGAATTAGCCAGTAGAGAGATAGTAGTTTATCAAATAGAAGAAAAATTATAGGAGAAAAAGAAAGCCCTCTGCAATATGAAAATAATTGAAATAAACATATATTACTGCAAAACCTCGAAAATTTATTGATCCTAGGTTTTATCGGTAAATCCTAGCATTTCCCATAGCAAGATGAGAAAAGTCCGAAAAATGCTTGTAAACGCTTCCATTTCGGGCTTTTACCAATTTAGGATTTACCAATTTTTGGGCTTTTGCAGTAAAATATATAATAATAGGGACAATAAACCGGGAAAGATCATATCAATTATTTCCTCACAATATTTGACACAATTGAAGTATATTAACGTTGAAAAAAAGTGCCCTACATGGTCCAATGTTCTAGATACTTCTGAGTAAAACAGAATTGGATCAAAACTTTTTTGAAATATTTGTACCCCGGAGAATCTTGCTTGTACAATGGAAAGTAGGACAGATAGATCGCGAGGATGTTTTCTTGCGTTCGTTCAGAAGCCGCGTGTCATGCAGCACGAAATACATTTTACCTATCGAAACGGAGAGTAACCAGAAAATTGTATGATTTTCGTTGGGCTCCTGTCGCGACCAATAGTTTTTCCATTCGTTCTGAATGAAGCGTCGGAATCGGACGGACGTGATGCACGGTAAGTAATAGCACAGACGAGAGAAAATATAGAATATATGATTCTTATATGTCTATAAGAATAGACCTAACATGCAATGTAATTTTCTGTAATATTTTTTCACTTAACTACAAGACAATTTATTCTAAATGCATCGTTAATGGACATTTTATTAATGTTACTTTTTACATGTTCTTGTTTTATTCGTTATTATATCTTGCCTTCCATTTGTATATTTGTAACAGATAAATTCAGAATAGATGTAGTTTCATAAATAATTTATCAAATCTGTGCGATAAACTATTATCAATCAAGCTGCTTTGGTACAAGAATTTGAAAAAATTAAAAAAGTGGAGTTTGATCTGTAAACTTTGGATATTTTAGATATGTGAATGACTGAAACAAAAATTACGGATAAAGGTATACATTCATATGATTTTTCTTTATTATTACTAGACTGCGTCAATTTTAGACACTCATTTATGAATATGAAAATGGGATAGAAATTTATTTTCTCTACTAGTATAGATGTCTTATTATGCCGATATTAATATATAAATACCATTAAGCTTTATTAGTCTTCATTTTATTGCATTTTGTATATTAAATTTTACATATATACATTCATTTATAGATACATTCTATTCCAGTATGCACATAGTATGATGTTCTAATAAACTAATCCATCGATTCCCTACGCGTTAGGCCTCGAGATCGAGGTGGGACCTCGAGTACTAAATACCACACAGAAATCCCGTAAGCCGGGCCTCGTGGGGCAGACCAGTAAAACTGTCGTTTTTCGCATACGCTTACGAGCAACAAGTCCCGAGACTGGTTCCGGTCACGGACCGTATGAACAGTCAACAAGAGGACCCCGAGACGATCGCATATATCCTGGCCTGATTCAGGCGGACCATGGCTCACGACGTCTCGTCGATCCTGTGCCTCGCGTTCGCTTACTCGATCATCCTTTCGTCGAATTCGATCGTGGCACGACCGCAGCGCCACGATTTCGAATTTTCCGTGCACGAAGGACGTAACTGCTCGTCCTTGGACAGGAAGTCCGAAGGTGATTGGTCCTTCGAGGAAGGACGAGGGATAAATAGGTTGGTTGTATTAGGGAGCGTTAGTTTGCCTTTGGTGCAGGTAAAGCGTAGAGTGAATCGGTAGGATAGTTTTGGTCTTCTGAAGATTTTCTTAACAATGGAATTATAGAGATTTCGTACATTAAATTGTGGGAATCAGTGTTTAAGGATTTTTAAAGTGGAATACTGAGTTCTCAAGTGTCCAAGGTGAGGCTTGTATATTTAGGGAATCAGTGTTTAAGGATTTTTAAAGTGGAAATCTGAATTCTCGAGTGTTCAAGATAATAGTGAAACATTTGTGATTATAGATACGTGGATGAGGAAAACACCGGCTACAATGAAACGGATAATTTCGCAGCGAGATCTAGAGCATCGTTTTTTGGGAATGAGGGGAGAGGATTTTCTTTCGTCGATATCGTCGAGTCGATGTTTTCCGCAGTGGCTAACGGCATCGGTTCCATCATGACCAGCATCATTGGCCCGGAGAAAAATTCGAAGTCACGATCCTCAAGAGTTAGCTACAAGAATTATCAACTGATCAGACTATTTCCGAGTTCAACGAGTCAAGCGAACGAATTAAAAGAACTCAGAGACGCTGAACCGGACGACATCAGGTTCTGGACGCAGCCAGCTTATAACAAGTACGTTGTTCGTCACAGTCTAGAAATTGTTCTTGATTAATTAACGGTACACCAATAAGAAAGTGTTGACGTTTCAGATCAACGGACGTGCTCGTCGCTCCAGACCTGATTTCAGATCTCAAGACCTTTCTTAAGGACAGAGGGATCGATTTTAAGCTACTGATACCAGATCTTCAGGTAGATATACGAATAGAGAACATAATAACTACTGGACCGAGGTCAGATAATATTTAGCACTTTGATTTCTCATATAATGTGTGCTTTCTCACAGAAAATCATAGCCTATCAGAATCCGAAGATGTCGAAAGAGCAACGCGAGGACCTCGTTACCAGTCAGGGCCACGGCATGACCTGGAAGAGGTATCATCGATACGGAGGTAATTATTTTCTCTTACTCGTCAACATTTCTCCTAGATATTCTATTAAAAAGTTTCTACAGAATGTATGTAAGATGTCTATCGATTCCATGTGAGATGTAATATCGTACTAAAAAATAGGGTAGAAGTATTTCTTTCAATTTTATTTAATACATCACCTTTATTAAGACAGATGAGCATATCCGCCATAATTTTGTGCTACATATAATAACTGGACTTTTTGCATTTTCGGTGACTAATATAGAAATAACAAAATTACACAGAAATTTCATTTCGATACTATGTGTTTTAATATGTTAATAATAATGCATAAATAATATTAAATTTTATCGAAATCTTTATTTTGCAAGTCAGGGAACGTTATAAATGCATAAACATCCGCTGTCTAATAATTACTCTGCGAAAGCCCTAGTCGAAAACTTTATTTTTCGGAATGTAACTTAATAGGCATCGTCATGTGGTGCCCCAGGTAACTGTCTCCTTTCGTAAGAACCTACGAATATTTCCCTGACCATCAGCTTTACGACCATTTTTTTCAGATATCGTCGGGTACCTGGAATATTTAGCTTTCAGGTACTCCAAATTGGTGGAACTGATAACGATAGGTCACAGCTACGAAGGGCAGCCCATCAAGATGGTGAAAATCTCGACCGGTCCCAACAAGGACGGCGAACCAAAACCTGCGATCTGGATAGACGCTGGTGAGTCCTAGATCTTCCATAATAATTCCTTTGTATAAACACTTACCCGGTTACCAGTGAGAAACGCATGAAAAATAGAGAGACTCGTGGTACGTGCTCGACGTATTCGCTCGTTTCGTGTCTACTTGCTCAGGCTAGAGGAGAAATGTAACGAACCCTAAAACTAGAGTATTCTCGTATTTGACATGAGATCCTGATCTTTATTATTCTCGCTGGCGTCCCGTTGATTTACGTCCTAGAGAGTCTATGCATAATAAAACGTTTTCTCGTCGAGTGACACGCGGCTGTGCAGGAACTAAAACTGGTTTTCCGTTGAAAACACTTTTGAACCCATTGAAAGACTCGCTTTGCTATTAGGACACAGGTACATTCGCTTTGAAGAATATTTCAGCACTTGTTAACGATAATACTGCGCAAAAATTTTATCAACAAGGGGTGATACAATTCTTCAATTGTTTAGTCGTGATGTATTCTTATCTTTAAAGTGAAACGTATAATTACTAATATAATCTTCGCGATAATATGAAGATACCTGAAGGAACTCGGTAATTTTTTGTCATACTTCAACTTTCTCAAACATTATCGATAATACATTTGTTTTGAATACATCTTGAAATTTTAAGAAAGTTTCATCTATTCGTGTAAATTATGACAGTTGTAAATGTACACAGGAATTGAATTTATGCGTATCGTACCTTGCAATTAGCGTCGACGAAAACAATCAGTGGCGAGGTACATTTTGATTCACAAATAGGACGTTCGTCGCGTGCAAGGCTAATAAAAGTTGCATCAGAATTTATATCTGTGCGTATCAATGGAGATAAAATGGTTTGATTGGTCGATAAAACTCAAAGACCGAATAACTGTGTCGTTTACCTTTTTGAACCTGTGAAATCATATGCAAAATACTCTTCTAACACAAGCCTAGATACTAGAAACTCATCTCTATGGAGAACACATCTTGGATCCACGTTATATGAGATTCTAGATTCCATCCGATCTATATAAAAATTTCAAAGTGTTTCTCCATCCGTCGAATTATTATCGAGATGAAGGGGACTCGCTTTGGGTTCTCCGAAACAAAATTTCTGTACCGTTAACCACGTGTTGTTTTTTTCTTTTCTTTTTCTGAAATTGTCGTCGCGATTCGTCAGGTATGCACGCACGCGAATGGATCGGTTCTGCCGTGGCGACCTACATCGCGAGCCAGTTGGTCGAGAGGAACGCCAGCTACGCGAAACTGCTGGACAATTCGGACTGGATGATCCTGCCAGTCGCGAACCCGGACGGCTACGAGTTCACTCACACGGGAGATCGACTGTGGAGGAAAACCAGGAGCAATCATGGGGAGAATCAGGACGACAGTCGGTACGGTGTCGTCCCCAAAATTTGACAAAACTAGAAAGACTAATGAAAGTATTGGCACACAAACGCTTCTTAACTTCTTCAGGGACGAATTTCTGTATTTATTTAAAATACAGGGTGACTCGACGAGTAAAAGAAGTATAAGAAATATGGAGCATTCTAAGGGACAATTTAATTTCTTTATATCTTATTTTTTTGACATATCGAAGTAACCTCGAGTTTTTTCAAAGTCAATGCGCCTTTTTTTAATACCATCATGTTATAGGTCGCTGAATTCGTCCTTCCAGTGACAGCAACGTGGCATTAAAGGACACAAAGGAATTCTATTTTTATGGCAACTGTTACATTTATTCGAAACTTTAAATGTTATTACCAGCGAAAGAAAACGAATAATATACATGTTTACTAAATTCAGTTTAAAATCGTTATCACGTGTTTGACTCGATTTTGTAAGGCAAGGGGTTAAAAAAAGATTCATTGACCTTGAAAAAACTTAATGTCATCTTGATATTTAAAACAAATAAGCTTCTCAATTTAGTACCTCCATCAAATTATGATCGACACTTCGATGATCCTCTATACATATAGGTACTTACATTCCAGCCTCCTGCAGTTTGTGAACCATTACGCGAAGTGGTTCTGGGGGAACTGCGAGGGTGTCGATCCGAACAGGAACTTCGGCTACCATTGGGGCGAGTTGGACGAGGGTGGAGCAAGCTCCGATCCCTGTCACGAAACTTACGCTGGTCCTCACCCGTTCTCCGAGCCGGAAACCAAAGCGATGGCTGACTATATTCTGGCGAACAAACAAAATATTCGGTAAATAGGTCGAAGTAAATAATTCGATTGAATTTTTGACACTTAAATTAAATACAGTAAATCCTCGATGAGTATTCGAAGGTTCTTCAGCACTGACAAGAAGCGTTCCCGAAGTATAACACTGACTTTTTAATCAAGTTTAATACAGTGATAGAACTTGAAATTCATAAGTCAATGGTATTTGTTTCAACCGCATATAGCCATTAATTTATGAAATATTTCATGATCAGTGCCGAGGAACCTTCTTGCACTCGTCGAAAATTAACTATATTTTCGAAATCTCGAAAAGGTGCCCCTGAGCCATGTCGAAGGAGCTCCGTTAACGTTTGACGTGTCGAAACGATACTTTCAGAATGTACTTGACGCTGCACTCTTACTCGCAAATGTGGCTGGTCCCGTGGGGATACACGTACTCGAAGCCCTCGGACTATTCGGAGCTGGCGAACGTCGCGAAAAAAGCGATAAACGCGATTGCGAAGATACACGGCACCGATTATCAGCTTGGTCCATCGTCTGACTTGCTTTATCCCACTTCTGGTACGATAACAAACATGTCTGTCAGGTCGAATAGGTAGTAAGTAGGAGCGAGCGACTTACACGGTTTGTTTGATAACATACGGTTATCTGATTGAATACAAATCGTGCCATTTCTCTGCGGTTAATTAAACCGATAATTGGTCACGTGCTAATTAGACGTATTGGTGATTGATTTTTGAGAACGTGATTTTATCAGATCGTACCTGATTTGATAAAATGCCAAACGAAAGAAATTCTAGATCATTTATTAGATTAACAATCACTTTAGATTAATGGAAAATCAGATTTATTACTGAATTAAATTTTTTATACTAATCTACGTAATTTATGTTGGATTTGGTAAACAGAAGTTTACGATCAGAGAACGGATTTTTATGAAAAAATTCATATTTCTATTAATTAATCTTCAAAGAAACAGAAATATTTTTCTTCGATTAAATGTTTCGTAATGCCAGAAATCGAACAATATTTTTATTAGTGAACATTGTAATCCTCATTTTATTGCGTTTCATACATTTACATGTCACAGAAGTAGTTAAAATCCAAGGTTTAACGGTGATTAATCCATCATCCTGCGTCAATCAAATCAATTCGTCCACTTGGCCAATAATTATCGGAAAGTACGCCAGTATATTAAAAGATAAGGCACAAGATAGTAGAACAAAAGTTGAGATTTCTATCTCGAAACTGGTATAACAGTTGAAAAGAATTGGAGAATATTGTCGATTCTTGATCTATTTGAAGAGTAAGAGATAATTGTAACATTGGGCCAAAGGTCTCTAACACGGGCCTCGTTTTTAGATCGATATCAAGCTGCATATTTATTCGTTATATATGATATTAATATAAGAAACATTATTATTAATGTAATTAAAGGCAAATTGATTCCAGGGGCTTCTGATGATTGGGCGAAAGGTGTAGCTGGAATAAAATACGCGTACACCTTGGAGCTTCGAGATCGTGGAACTTACGGATTTCTACTTCCAGCGACGCAGATCATGCCCACGGCTCGCGAAATTTGGGCCGGAATAAGAACGATCGCTCGACTAGTCACTTGCAACACGTGAAAATTATTCAAAAAACTTGATTATAAATATTTCCATGCGAATAGAAACAAAAGTCGTCGGCGAACATCGAATTCAAAGCGTCTTGTCGCGATTATCATTACAACAATTCGTCGTGATAAGACTTTACGATCGGAGATAGTGCTGAATTTGTTTTGATTACGAGATTATTAAGTATGTCTAAAGTTCAATTGCCTAGTCCCGGGTCATGTTCAAACTAGAAAATTATCGCGTTTAATAATGGCACCCTGATATACCTATACATAATTTTCAATCAATTTTAGAAACAATATTCTTCGTTGAACGTGTAAATATTGTAAAGTAACTGTAAGATTAGGAAAAGTGTACTTGAACGATAAATAATTTATTGTAGGAAGCGTGTGTATTTATTTAAGTTGAATTTACGAGAGTGTAAAAATGATTCAATAAAGCACCGAATAACGATTATATTGACGATCGACGTTGCGGATGACTTCTGTCGCTTTAGAATTTAGTGTCTACGATCTATATATGACATTATTGCAGAGAACTCATCTAGTTTAATGTTGTCAAGAATAATGAGATACACCCTGATATTCATGTGATAATCAAGGCACTCAATTGCCGTGTACGTTGCTTGTAAACACTTATAATATAAAAATAGCCCCAAGTGGCTCGGTTATCGATTACGATTTAGAATTATCACTAGATATCGATGCATAATATCATATATAAATCGTAATGTCCAGTCGTATTCGCAAGTAGTACCAAGGTATTCATACGACAATGTTGACCAAGTGTGTTCTCGCTGCAATCCTCGTGCTTCAGGGTAAGAAAACGGTGCTTTGGAATTTGTCTTAATAATTTTCACGTATAAAAAAAAAAAAATATAACACCTACATTGTCATTATATTATTTTCTTTGAGCCATGAACTTACTCTCATGGGGCTACTTTCATAAAATATTCAGAGATGTCGATTGACCAGATATTTGGTATTTCATTATTTTAATTATTTAACAGTCTGTTCGGCCATCCCCTACGACCTGACGCCACGTATCACCGATGGCGTTGACGCTGCACCCGGTGAGTTCCCATACCAGGTCTCCATCCAATGGGGAATCCCACCCCTGAAAGACTACGCCCACGCCTGCGGTGGTTCAATCCTGAACGAAAACTACATCCTGACTGCTGGACACTGTGTCTTGAAAATTGGAAAACTCAGGGTTGTCGCTGGCAGATACTATCTGAACAAGGCTGAGGAATCCGACCAGATCATCAAAGTTGTCAAGACCATTGTCCACAGCGGATACAATGGGTGAGACATTAGTCAGAGGATTTAATAGCTATTCCAGTCAGATAGAACCTAAACAAAATTTATCAAACGTAAACAGTTAAATAGATGATGACCTATGGTTAAGGCATATAGCTTCATGGTGAATCAGAGTTTATCAATTCGTCGAGTTGAAAATAGGGTACCGTACGTCTAGGCGAATTTGAATCCATTTGAGATAAGGATTGTCCAGCTAGGATTGCAAGATATTCCGTGGACCAGGTTGACATTCATCAACCGTACGACTTATATACTACCTTTTGGGTTTACAGAGGTGTCGCTCAACACGACATTGCCCTGTTGAAATTGGAGACTCCACTGAAGATGAACAAGCTGGTAGCCCCCATCAGTTTGCCAGGTCTGAACCAGAAGCAAACCGGTCAAGCCGTCCTCTCTGGATGGGGATCCATCTCCAAGAAGATCATCCCTGTTCTCCCAACAGTCTTGCAGAAGGCTTACGTTCCGATCCTTGAAAATGACGACTGCTACAATCAACTCACCGCCCAGCCCGCTGTTGGTAAACAACCTGAATTATTCGAAACACAGGTCTGCAGTGGAACCGCTGGCCAAGAAGTCTCTGCCTGCTCTGTAAGTTCGATTATCATTTGTCGAATTAACCTCACGATAGCTTAACCCAGACTGGATAGAATACTAATTTTTATAGCTAGAACCAGTAACCATGAGCTTGATTCTTGCAGTGGTTGCAAGAAGAATAATTGTTCACTTGTTTACTTCGTATTTAGGGTGACTCTGGTGGCCCACTCGCCCAGATTGTCGGTGAAACCGCCGTCCAAGTTGGTATTGTCTCGTGGGGTATGATGCCTTGCGGATCCAGCCACATGCCATCTGTCTACACCCGCGTTGCCTCCTACATCGATTGGATCAACCAGAACATGTATTAGATTTTGCATTGAATGGGTTTGGAATAACCTCGGTTTATTCACAATTTATTAACGAACCGTTAGGAATCTTTAAATTGTAATATCCCAAGGATAATAAACACAACGAATTTCGTCGAAATAAATATTATCTCCTTGTTGCGTCAACCTGTCTAAAAATAATCATCAGATATTATATTTATAAAAAAAAAAAAGAAAGGGAAGGAAAATTGACAAGAGTTATTGAGCAACTAACACTTCTTTGTTCTTTTGCAAATACAGAGAAATGATTTCAAGTAAATGAATGTCGAAATCACAGCGATACTACGCTCGAATCAATCAAAATAAATCCACATATCTCAAAAGGAGATATGGGAAGAAGAATTTAAAAGAATGCGTTATGAAATTATTGACTTCCTTCCTTAAAGATTATCCTTCTTTTATGTGTCGTTCTTTACATTATAGGGAGAAATGAAAAAAGATAATGCGATCTATGCTGTTCAAACAATCTACATCTATATACAGAGTCAGTAAGAACTAATATCTTAAATAACTCGTTCCTTATTTGTTGTATTAGAAAACGTTTTAATAAATTATGTAGCATTCTAAGGGACTCTAAAGGGATTTTTTTATATCTGATTTCTCTTGAGATATCCAGGTGATCTGGAGCTTTTTCAGGATCAGTGCGTCTCCTTTTTAATACCATTATGCTATAGGTCGCTGAATTGGTCCTTCCTTATTGCCCCGGTGTCCCTATCAAGGAATGGAATACTGAAATTATACGGGAGCTCCTGACGCCCCCAAAGCATGGGACAGAAAATTACATTGAATGTTAGGTCTATTCTATCTGTGTTGATGCAGGAGGTGCAGCGACAGTGTTCACCCAGGTCTCTCAATTCAACGCGTAGATCACAGAAACTATGACGCATGGATCTATTTTCAATCTGAGAAATTTCAGGAGAATGTTAAATATATTTATTGCATTGTTTCTCTAATCCCTTCGCACTCGATTGTCCCCTTGGAATGGAAACAAGTGTATTTGGATTTGGGAAATTCCGAGTGCATAGAGTGGGATGTTGTGGCTCACTCGCAGAACAAATAGTCGATTTTGGAGTGTCCACTTATCTTTCGTATATGTATGTACTTGGATACAGGAAAGTGGAACGTTCGTGAGAAGCTAGATATTTTTATAATTGAGCGATACTAGAACCTGTTTCTTATTTCTCGTATATTTTATAGTCGTGAATTAATATCAATTATTGCATAAATGGTCCCAAATGCGAGGTACGAAAATGTCTATTTTGTCATTTTTACGTTAACAGCCGAGATTATGGCATTTTATGACTCCAATCTGCCAATACATTCGCAAAGACAGTATGCTTATGGAAGCAGGTAACTGAACACAGTAGAGAAAACTAGAATCCAGGTAATAAGGACTATTAATTATTTAGATAAAATATTACTGCATGTATACAATATCGCAGCTTGTGTGTGAGATGAGCTGAGGGGTAAAGAAAAGAAGAGAGTGCGATATTAAGTTATTAATTTCCTTAAAGATTGCTTGTCTTTTATACTTTGTTCTTTAATTTTTTCGTGTTCTTCATCAGTCATTTATGATATCATCGTTTAATCTTTTATGTTTCGTAATTATGCGATCGATGCAGTGTATACAATCTGCATACATCTCTATCCGTAAAATTGCGTGAAACAGTCCAAGTTTATTGTCAACACTGATAACTCTAATGAACGGTTGCACTGTGGCTGCACCTAGAACACAGTTATTCTTATCTACCTCCTAACAATAAGTAGCACATGTGTACAAATCAATCGGAAATCTTTTTATCATTTCTATTAAACCCGTGTGTTTCTCGAAGATCAGTTAACTTTTCCAATTTCCTGTATTTCACAATTGAAACGGGAGATAAGCCAGATTCATCCATCACAAATGAAACGAACGTAATAATCGTCTCAGACAAAAGCTCTGTTATCGCCGATGGATCACGTTGATTAAAATGTATTTTCCGAGAGGGCGGCGTCATCGATAGCCGATCAGAGTCGTATATAAGACCTAGTGTCCACGAAAATCCCAACAAACCATCGAAATGTCTCTAAAGCTGGTCATCTTCGCCTGCCTTCTCGCAGTGGCTGTCGCCAGTAAGTAGAATTCCAAATAAATATTTAATTATCCAATCATAAATTAAATTGTACTTTTCGCTCGTTAAATGGACCACGGTTTGACAATCGAATTTATTTGTTTCTAGCGAAACCCTATCGTGGTTTCAACCTGCCGCTGTTCGATGGCCGCATCGTCGGAGGATCGGAAGCCACACCTGGACAATACCCCTGGCAGGTTTCCCTTCAATGGGGAATGTTCGGGACATACTCTCACTTCTGCGGTGGTTCCATCGTGGCCGGCCAATGGATTCTAACTGCTGGCCACTGTGTCGATGCTGTCCCAAGTTACGGTGATTTCCTGGTCAAAGCAGGCAAGCACAGCCTGAAACTGAAGGAAAGCAGCGAGCAGGTCGTGAAGGTGGTGAAGTCCTTCGTGCACGAAAAGTACCCTGGGTAAGTAACAACCCTTTATTACCATCGTTGAGCAACGTAACTGCTGTTCAAAGAATCTCAATAAAGATAGAACTCTGAATTTGATTCTAACCGATAGGATCAAACTTATCCCCGAGGAATTAATTATTACTAACCGTATACCATGTTGCTGTAACTATTCATATTTTTATTTTGACTTAATTATTATATATGCATACTAGATTTATACCAATATAATAACTAAATAAATCGCTTCAATATTAGATGTTTAAGAAACCATGAAATGATCGTTAAGTAGCCAATCATATTATGTTACTGATTCGAGTGTTTCACGAATTCCAGAAATGTCGCCCCATACGACATCGCGTTGCTGAAGCTGGAGAAACCCCTGACGCTGACCAAAACGGTACAACCGATCAGTCTGCCCGAGGAAGGAAGCATTCCAACCGGAACTGCCGTGCTGACTGGTTGGGGATCAACCTCGAGAACGAATAATCCAATTATGCCTGACAAACTTCAGACCGCCCCGTTGCCGTTGGTCGATCTTGCCACCTGCAAGAAGGCTATAGAAGACCTCACGGGTCCGTCACCCCTGCACGAGACCAACATTTGCAGTGGTCCCCTCACCGGCGGATACTCAGCATGCAGCGTAAGAAATCGGATTCGATTAATCGTGAATTAAGGTTCGAACGCTGTGCTATTGATATCGTTTAATTTCAGGGTGACTCAGGCGGCCCATTGGTCCTCAACCAGAATGGCAAGACTACATTGATCGGTATCGTCTCCTGGGGTATCGTACCATGTGGAACACTTGGCGCACCGTCAGTGTACACCAGAACATCTGCCTTCAACTCCTGGATCAACGGAATTCTATCGAAGAATTAAGAACCTTTTATACTAAACTATTTCTGAATCGAGTACAATCGTGAAAGTGTTACCAACCGGAGGAATTGAAGATGAATGTTAAATAAAAGTTTTTTTTTTATATATACTTTTCATTTCTTTATTTTAATTACGTAATTTCCTGGTTCATGGGTCGAATGAATAGACGATTTTTGGAGTGCCCACTTACCTTGTCATAGATACAGGAAAATGGAACGTACATGACAAGCTTGATATTTCTATGATTGCAAGATATTATCTTGATACTGAAAAACTAGTTCTTGTCCCTCAAACGTTTTATGGCTCGGAATTTTTCTCGAGTATTTTATAGATGCTCTTAAATTTGAGAATTATAAAGGAAACCTTCATTTCATCATTGTTATGTTAAGGTATCATTCTACTTTGACGGCCGAGAAATTAAACTATATTTAGGGATTTTTTAAACTATTAGAAGAAATATAAAAAAATTACGAAAGTACTTTTATTATATTTTATTTTAAAGAAGCATGAAAGTGACATCTCAAGAAACGGTATCTTTATGGTGCAGGTGATTTTTCAGCTCAGACTCATCTGAAACAAAAGCTCAAGATTTTTAATTAGTACGAGTGCCGCTATCACCCGAAGCACACTCTTGTTTATATCTTTAATTTATCGTACTTTTTATATAACAAAAACACCGAAAAAAGACGTTCTTCGTATTTTTCTTGTTATTTTTTAAGATATATTATTTATTGTGCTTCTGGTGATAACGACTTCATACTAATTAAGAGTCTTCACGTTCGTGCTAAGAATAAACTTCAAACAAAATATGGTAAAACTATTTTTGCAATTTCTTCATATTATATTATTTGTAAGTAGTTCCATAAATACTAAAAAGTTGTATTTCATTACATATTGTATTTATTGAGGAATAATCCTTAAAGATTAATTTATAACCAACACAGTAAAATGACCCGTTAGAAATCGTTATCTAGTCATTGAGGAACAAAGGTCATGACGTAGGGGGTATTTCATGGTTTTAGTGTGCCTTCGAAAACAAAGTATGTCTGTGGAAGCAGGTAACAGAAAAGAGTGGGGGAAACCGGACTGCAGGTAATAAGGACTACTAATGGGCAAGGACAGTGACAATTGGGCAGTCGAACCGTTAGGGTCTGGGTGTGAACGAAGTACTTAAATACAAATTCCAGACAGTATTCGTGCGAGGCTTTATCATAAACGACGTTGTTATACAGGGTGCACCGCGAAACGTGATCAACTTAGTTTATTCTGGTATCAATTACCTTATTTATATTCTATTGCTAGCTGTTCGATCGAACATTTTTTTGCATGGTTAACCATCAGTTCTTAATCGTTTACGCGAGTGTATAGCAGCTGATGGACGCCATTTTGAACATCGTTTTAATTAAGGTAAATGATCTTCTCTTACCGTTTCTTTGGTTTAGAAGAAAATTAATTATCTATTATGATGTCGAATTCATCTCAGTATCCGTTAAAAGGTGAACGGTTATAGGTTTATTTGTAAAAAAACTGAAGGGGGTTGACAAAAAATTTGATGAGACCTCTACTAGTAAGAATATATTTCTGAAAATTTATTTCTGAAAATTTATTTCTGCCCTTCTATGACCCTGAAGACCATAGTATGCTACATAATTGAACTCGTCTTAGTGCCCGCTTTCATATGATGTAAAAAAATATGCAGCATTCCATTTAATAAAATTAAGGTCACCTTTGTTTCTAGAAAAATATCAAAAATACAAAAACTTTACACTACTTACTATTACTAGTAAAATATACTACAACTGCCTACTCTTCGGTTTTTTTCTAATGTTTACCGTTTACGAAAAAAAAACGATGGTACAAATTATCGCGAACACCCTGTATACTGTTCCTGTTAAAGTCGTTCGATAAAGCATTCGGGAAGTGGTCGTGAGTGAAAACCTCGACCTCCACCGATGTCATCCATTTCCAGTCATCGGACGTCTTTCAGGGAGGAACCAGTTGTTCCAGTCTTTCGGAATAACAATCTCTCTAGTTCCTCCTCAGGATGTTCTTCCGGAATCGCCTCCACCTTGACACCGTATACCCGCCCTGATCATTCGATCCCGATTACTCGAGTCAATTCGATCAAGTAAAAGTTGCACGAAATGATATTTCGAAAATCGTTCGTGTTGTTAACAATGTACGGTCTCGTGCAGTGTTCCGAAATAGACGGTGAGTTATTGAACTTTATCGGTAGATTTCAAGCTCGTGCGTCTCACCGATCTTATCTAATCACGACGGTTTTTCATTGATAGAAATGATCGCGAAATCGGCGATGTTGGCGCAACGACCGACGAGGATAGTGGGTGGGAAGGATGCTGAGAAGGGACTTCATCCGTGGCAGATTTCGGTGCACTGGGGTGAACGGGAACGAAAAATTGCGTCGAGACACATTTGTGGTGGTAGCTTACTGACAGCCGGTTGGGTGTTAACGGCTGGACATTGTAGAATTCTCGCTCCGTTCAGGGGCGAGTACGTGATCCTTGCTGGGAAATATAAGTTGGGTGTTTTGGAGGATACCGAGCAAAGTAGACTGGTGGAACGAATATTCGTTCATCCAGAATACGACGAGTGAGTCATGAAATTAATTTGAAATCTGATCGAAATAGTTGATTAACAAATCAATATTTTTGTTCCAGGACTGTTGCCCCATACGATATCGCGTTGATGAAGTTGGAGGAACCATTCGACCTGAATCCCTTCGTTGCCACGGTCGCTCTGCCATACCCTGACTCAATACCATCTGGAGACGTCATGCTGACTGGATGGGGAAGCATCGGAAGAACACGAGCCCCAGAACGCCCAGAGAACCTCCAAGCGGCCACGTTACCTATAGTCGACTACGATTTGTGCAAGCTTACGTTGGATAAGAGTTTGAAACGGAAGGAGAAGAATCCACTTCATCCGACGAATATCTGCACGGGACCTTTGGACGGCAGTCTGTCGGCTTGCAAGGTACATTTTTGGTGTATTTATATTTAGTAAATCGAATTACTGTCTTGACAACAGAGACGACAGTCCTAGTTAGGTCGCTCTAGGCGAAATAACAACCTAGACCTTTCTTTTCTTGGAAGATCTGGATAGATCTGAACGTAGTAAATATTTTTTAGGGAGACTCTGGAGGCCCTCTAGTCAAAAAGAACGCTTTCGGTGAAGCGGAAGTGGTAGGAATAGTCTCCTGGGGACTATTTCCCTGCGGCGGAAAGAACGCGCCTACCGTGTACACACGGGTCTCCGCGTTTATCACGTGGATCACTGTGATCATGTTAAATTATTCATAATCATTTCTCACCGATATCACGTACAATTCCTTATCGATCATCGATTACAGAAAATTCACGGGTACAGACGATAATCGAATGATTGAATTGCGATGAAGAACGCGTTAATAAATGTACACAGTGTTCCTAAGATAAAGGTTAAAAATAACTGCTCGATAAATGTTTATCCTTCCTTTTTTTATTCAATAAATAATTCTCCCATCGTCAACTCGTCTTATCCACTACGTAGTACACAAGTGTGTACCATGCACACGATATATCGATAATAATATTTATACAAGCTTCTCGAACACCCAGGCGAGAGAAAGTCGATCTTGATGCAATTAAAACTCAGGCAGTTCAAAGATTACTAATCCGTGCAAGCGTCAGCGACGACCAATACCGCGGCCAGAGCTTCCTTCGCCGTGGGAATGATGTAACGCGACGGTAAAACGAAACCATGCTTTCCAGTGTCCCGTAATTCGATGGTGTACGTATATTTCACCTTCAGGATGGCCTTGGACCAGTCGTCGGAGCCACCGGAAGCGGCGTACAGAGTGGTCGCGCTGTTCCCGACCGTGTACTGGCTGTTTGCACCTCCTGCCTTCTTCATCGCCGTTGCCATTTCTTTGCCGACACGCTCGAGATCAGCGTAATCTGGTGGAACCCGTTTATCGTAGCCCCATGGGTACAAAATGAACTGGCCGTAGCTGTGGAACGTCAGGTAAGCCTGCAGAATAAAACGTTGAAATTTAATTAAGTGATCTTATCGAGCTAACTTGCAGGTCTAATAACGCTTTACATTTTGGAAAAGATCCTTGAGAATGGATCCTAACGTTCTAAACATACTCTAGTTGCACAAAAATATTGTAAAATATTTGTTTAGCCACAGTTTTTAATATGAAATAAATATTGAATCCAAATATTGTATACATATACAGGAAATATAAAATACATGTTTCCAATATTAAATACATATTTATTTTATATTGGGAAAAAAATATTTTTTTCGTAATATGAAATAAACATATGTATATTTAAATATGAAAAAGAGATTGAATCTCTTTTCAATATTGGATGAATATGTATTCAATATTTTGTGCTACTAGGGTAGCTATTGCATGTAGAAGTTTTTTTCTTTTATTAAATTGCATATAAATATTTTTTTTTATGTGGGTGCTAATCCCTTTGGGGTAGCACTGTTAGCACATAGAAGTTAGAATTCCTTCACTTCAAGGATCTTTTCTAATTCATTCGAAATGAAACCCACTTTGAAATTAGCGGCGCTAGCCTCGAAGAAATTCTTGATGGCGTTGGTCTCTGGTTCGGAGAATGGCCCGGAGCCTGCATAGATCTCTCGACAAGGGTCCTTGCTGGTACCCAAGCCACCCCATCGGTAGCCAAAGTTCCTATTCAGATCGACGCCTGTGCAAGAGCTGCCTATCGCGCGTTTCCTGTTCTTTCTCCATAATCGATCCCTCGTGAATGTGTATTCGTATCTGGAAATCAATTAAAAAGGGACATCAAGGGTATAATTGAATGTCCTAGTTTGTCGTATCGATAAATATATACCCATCAGGATTGGCTACGGGAAGGATATAATAATCAGCTTCGAGACTGTCACTGTTCTCGACAAGGTAATCGATAATGTAGGTCACTGCCGCAGGTGAGATCCATTCTCTGGCGTGGATACCACCGTCGATCCACAGCGCGGGGGCGTTCGGTTTCCCGTTGCTGATCCTCAGGACCTACGGGTACCATTTATCACTTTTAATAACAATTTTAATCAAAAATTGTAGTAACAACTTTAATCGAAGAAACTTCTTTCCATTCATCGTCTAGAGACATTTCCTCTGAATGTCCCAAAGAAGTAAATACTTCCTTAACTATTCCTTAACATTCCTTAAGTATGGTTCCTTAAGTAGTCACTTATTCGTAAGCATTTCGAGTAATTTAAAATGACTACCTTCAGAGGCCTCCCCTCGACAGAGTTTCCAATGCTGACGACAGAACAGACGGCCGGGAATGTTTCAGCCAAATAATCGAGATAGGTGTGGATATCTTGAAGACGATGGTAACTGGTCCATTCCATTCGATGACCTGACAGGTATACCTTCAAGATTATTCAGAGGTTGCACGTTCGGCGTCCTCGAGTGATATGTAAGAACATTCCGCTCCGTGGATTCAGAGGTGATGATCGACACGGTTGGAAAATAAATTAATTGAATTCATTCGTTAATTAGCCCCGTGCCCCTGGATACGATTCTGAATCGACGAAGCGGATTGTGCGCGCGCGGGAAGCTCACCCCTAAAGTGCCAGGGACCACCTCCACCGTGTACATTAGGTACAGGATAGCGATGAGGACGAGGACGTGGGTATCTACCTCGCACCCTGACTCCCTGCCACCAAGCGTAACGAGCTAGAAAATTACTTGAAAGCTCAGTATTCGGTGATATGACGTTGCCTGTTAGTTTATGGATAGCCAGCTGACGGATCTTTGATCCAGGGAGACTTTGCATTATCCGGTATACCAATCAATCCCTTTATTAACACTAGAACTACCAGCATTGGATGCATACTAAATTAAATTGTGTAAGAAAATAATATATAAAATATATAAGACAACCTAGCATAACATACCGTAAAATAAAATCTATAGTAAACTATAAGCCAGCATAAATTCTGTCAAAAGCATCGTTTTAATTTCAGTAATGGTAAAATAGAAAATCTGTAATCCGTCATTTTAACGGGTCTGGTAGTTCTAGTGCTAAATTCAATATGTACTTAATACTCGTTGTTTTTCAACGTAAATTGCATATAGATATTTTAAATTAAAGATACAGTCCAAGATTATTAAAAAAAATCCTAGTGCTTTTAAGGGTCATGGACAGACAAAGTACGCTTTCCAGCCTAGTCTGGGTTACTCGGAAACACGTTCTAGTATGGGAACAATAAACATTCCTAACTACATCAGTACATTGGTCGTAAATCACTTTGTACCGATCCCTTCCGCAGGGTCGAATTTCAAGGTGCCATCGAGCTCAGGTACCTCAATAAAATTTTCAAAACAAATTATTTCGACCGCCCAACTAAATATTGCTCGTTTCAAAACCCCCCTCCAACTCACAATCCCCAGCAGATTGACAGTCCGTTTTCTCCGGATCAATCGTCATTCGCGATTCAGTCAGTGCGACCCGCGGACAGTTTCCTCATTCGCTATTCCGTTCGATCAGTCGGTCCCGGGAGCTCGGTTTCACCGGTTGTTTTCGAAACTGGGCCCGTTGCCAATCGGTCTCAGAATTATCGTGAATTTGCCCGGGGAACAGTTAACGGGATCGAGTGTGGCCAAGAGCAAAAGATCGAAAGCAGGTGTGTTGCAGATGCGCGGAGTCTACGAGCGTGTGTAACTGTTAATGTTAATCAGCATTGTGGGATCCCGAAACTGGGTTACCAGGTTGAATCGCGACGAGGTTGCTAACCCCGTGTACCTTTCCAACTGAAAAATAAGCCCGCAGCAAAATGGTCCTCCTGGGAGGGGGCCTCGTTTATCGTGGGGTATCAACGTCATTTAACAGTCCGTACGCGAGCATTAGAATGTCGTTAGACAGCGGTGGAGGTTTCACGCGATTAATTCGTCCGTGACGTCTAACGGCGACTGTTAAACGGCCCCTTATCAAAAACACTTTCGAATCGCGTTGCCTGCGCACGGCCATTTGTTTCCCGCGGCTTTCTTCGGTACGTGACTGGACTGCTCGTTTAGGTGCGTCGAAGCCATTCGTGTTAGTGGAACGGGTAAAATGACAAGTGAAACGTTTTTTCTTTCACTGGTTGGGGTTTTCGTGAGAGTGTAAACTGGGTAATGACGGCTGAATATAATCCACAGTACTTTGTCTGTCCCCTTTGATAGTTTTCGGTTGTATTTTTAATTGTTTTACTATTGTTGCGTTGTACCACCCATTTTGTGGAATTGATTTTTTATATTAACAATTTATAGTTAAGTCATTTTCGATCATTTTGTTGTCATAGAAACCGTGTCCGAAAGCGGCATGATTTTTCGTGGTAATGCGTGACAGATAGAAATTTTTAGAAAATATTAAGCGAAGCTAGAATAGTAAGCCAATTGAAATTTGTTTGTTGATATACGATGATGAGGATCTCTACGAACCGTTACGGCCCTCTATCTCCTGCATTTCTTCTTCGGACAGCACGTTATTCTCCTCGTCCATTTGCTTCTGTAGATTATCGATCACGACGTTATAATCCAGGTCCTTTTGTTCTAAATAACGGGCGACTCTGGCGATTTCCTCCGAGCGAACCATCACGTCGATTGCCGTCTCGTTACCGGTCCAAAAGCCGAACACTGTATAGTATAGACAAGGAAATGGTGGTCAAAATAGTGCCTTCAATATCCCTTTTAATTGAATTTTCGTCATTTATCTACTAAATGATTCCCCTATTTTTAGAAATTCGAAACATAATTAATTACTTCACAGAAGATTCCATTAAAAAATAATATACTAGATTATCTTGGTGTTATTATACAAGAAATGACAAATTGTCTACATATCTGTACATATTGTACTACATATTCTCCATTTAAAGCGATTAATTTTACCTACATTAAATAGAGTAGCCATTAGATTGCGAATATTTAAACACTTACAATGTCCAGGGATACAAATTACCATTTCTATAAAACGATCCATGAAAACCTGAACTTTAAACAAATAAGCCACCAAATATTCCCAGCCTTCCTTCAAACAAAAATAAGGGAATCGTTCCATGAATAATCAGACATCTTCATCCCCTAGAATTACTAACATCCAGCTTCCTGGAAATCCATGGCAACGTTCAACAGGGGCTGTCCTTCGTTAGCCTGCACCCTCCACACCTGTGCGCCATCGTAGGTCACCTTCGCGTCCCTCACCCTGACCGCCCTCTGAATGGTCTTCGAGTTCTCCGCGACTGGCTCGTCGACGATCTCTATCCAATCGGGTATCACGAACTCCCGGCGTGGTCGATAAAGCGCCGACGCCGCCGCGGCGAGAACGACAACGAGGAGGAACGTGAACGTCGTGAAACGTGCGCCACGCGATCTGTTACTCTTCTCCATCCTCGGACAACTATCCATGGGTCGTCGACGGGCCCACCTTTTATGATATTCGACCCGGTCGACGATCGGGAGTAACGGGACTTAACGAGCGCGGCTCGTACCTCCTCCAATCCAGCGGGTCGCTCGAACCGCCAGGCATCGAGGATCTTTGACCCCGGTACCAGCGTCGCAAGGATCAACTCCGCCATCATTGGCCAGCGAGCTCCCTGGCTCGTGGAACTTGTTCGGCTCTAACGACGCTGATCAGATCAAGAATTTTGATAATCATCGTTAATGACACGGGCTTAGTTCAACTTTGGAAACGTTGGAAGACGTTGGAAGATGTAGGAAGACGTTGAAAGAGTTTGAAAGGGGTTGAAAGGGGTTGAAAGAGGTTGGAAGAGATGTGAAGAAGTTGTAAGGGGTTGGAAGAGATTGGAAGAGGTTGGAAGAGATTTGAAGAGATTTGAAGAGATTTGAAGAGATTTGAAGAGATTTGAAGAGATTTGAAGAGGTTGGAAGAGGTTGGAAGAAGTTGGAAGAGGTTGGAAAACGTTGGAAGATGCTAGAAGAATCCTGGCCATGCTAACCTTTTCTTTTTCCTTGAAAACTATTTCGGTCTAACGATTCGTTTTCAGAGAAAATTTAGCTAACCTTCTTTTTTTTCCTTCAAAACTTTTTCGGTCTTACGATTCGTTTTCAGAGAAAATAATAGAATCAACGTGGTTCCCGGTGGCGATATACCATTTGGAAGACGTTGGAAGAATCATGGTAGTACCTTTTCCTTTCCGTTCAGAAATTTTTCGGTATAACGATTGATTTTTAGAGGAGATAATAGAGCCAAAGTGGTTCGAAGCGGCTGTGTACCGCGCAGGCGTCGCCTCGCAGCGCTTCAGATCGCGGCTGACATCCGTCGTTCGAAGTTGACTAATGGAGCCGAAAGCATCAGAGAATTCGGAGCATCCCAGACGTGATCGTATAGTCATGAAGACCCTGCTGGCGATTGCTTGCCTGGTCGCGGTCGTCGCGACTTTAGAGGTACCGTTTCGTGCTTAATGTCGGGATTATTGCTGTTTTTCTGCGTGCCGTTAGGTCGACGGTTATAAGGAAATCGTCTTCAGAATATACGCGAAGATTTCTTCCGATGATCACGATCGAAGGAATTGGGTACCAATTGAGCGAGGATGGAGAAGATCTTGAAAACAGTTTAAATACGAGGAAACCTAAGATAGAAAAGATATTAAGTGTGTTTAAAGTGTCGTATATTACTAGACGAAATAGTTAACAGTTGGTCTAAGTTAGTTTACTCGGAATTATTGGAGTAATATAGCGGAGTTGGTAGTTTCTGATAAAATTCAGGTGACACATTTCCTCACGAGATTACGAGGAAGACAATATCGAAGCCTAGTATAGATCGGATACGTTTTACATTTATAGAATCAACGACGTAAGGTTTCCTACGTCGTGAGGTATCGGGAACGCTTCAGTCCAACGTGTATTCCATCGACCATGTGAGGAGGATTGCATCAGTTCTTCAAATCTGAAGACTAAGCACATCAGAAAATTTAGATCTTAAAAAATCAGAATTTATTCATACTCGTTCAAAGATGAAGTATCATCTAAAATCTGCTTTTGAACTCTAATCATCGCTTCCTATTTCAGAAAGACTTTTAAACACTGAATCCATAATGATATAGTTGAGATTGAACTTTTAGAGACTTAAGGAGACCAATCCCAATCCTGATCGAAGTTTAAGTAGTTCTCACTCGAGTCTATTTTCAACTCGAGTAATAACTCTCCAGCTCGCAAGGTGCACAAAGAAAACTCATTTCAGGGTGACAGGCTCACAGTCACTGAACAAGTGTACCTAGACATCATGATTGACGATCATCCGGCCGGGCGAATCGTGGTTGGCCTCTTCGGGGACATTGCTCCCAAAACAGTGCAGAACTTCATCGGTCTGGCGACTACTGGCGTGGCCGGGAAAACGTACAAGGGTAGCAGATTCCATCGTGTGATCAAGAAGTTTATGATCCAAGGTAATTAAACCCAATAATGAACCAGAACTGGTTCCAATGACGTCAATGAGGCAGGTGGGGATATCGAAAACGGTGACGGCACTGGATCCATCAGCATTTACGGTAAATACTTCGATGATGAGAATTTCAACGTGGGTCACAATGGACCCATGTTTGTTAGTATGGCGAACGGTGGAGAGAATTCGAATGGCTGTCAATTTTTCATCACCACCATTCCCACGCCGTGGTTAGATGGAAAGCATACAGTGTTTGGAAAGGTAAACTATATCTATTAATTCATCTAGGGTGGAAAAAGAAAAATATTAGGTGTACCAATGAATTACCCCCTATTTAGAGAAATTTAATATTCATTCTTAATAAATCAAGGTGTATACTGCTTCAGTAATATTAATTTTCAAACTCATTTCGTTATTTTTAAAGGAAGAATGGAGATAAATAGTGTAACAATTGGTGGATTATTTATTGGTACACCAAGCAATTATACATTCATTTAACAGGTTGTCGATGGCGAGGATGTAGTCTTTAAGATCGAACAGGTGAAGACTGATGCTGACGACTTTCCGGTGAAACCTGTTATTATATTCGATTCTGGTTCTCTTCCTACAGCTTCGCGATTTACAGTGGCCGATAACAATAGCTACAAGTAACTTATATATTTAGTATTCATTTTCGTAGAATACTTTAGTACTAGATACTTGAGAATCATTGATTTTTTAGGAGTACCATTTGAATTGTTTCCTTTTGTAAAACAAGCAATTAGAACTGTAAATTACTAGCATGTGCTTTTTTTTTGTTCATTTAGTATTATGAAGGTATTAGTCCTACATACGTTAATTATATATTAATTATATTACATATTTAGTATCTAACAATAACATTGGAAGTAGATATTATAGGTTTTACGTGCACGCGCTCGATCATTACTTTCGGGTTACAATAAGTAGAAACAGTACGTGATGGTCAGACACACTATGACATATCCTATCGAATTGCGTGGTCTACTTAACCAAAAATTCGAATGCTATTTTCTCGAAATTTGGAATGTGATATTCTCGAAAATTTCATTGCATACTTTTTATTTATTTCATTAGAAAGAAGCCTTCCATGCTTTGTTGTAACAGTGTAGCAATCGCGGTACTGCAGTATCATTTTAAAATGCATGATTTAATTTTCGCAATTGTAAAAATTCTTACAATTCTTAACGTATAATTTTGTGTAGTGTTCAAATCCCTACGTCATAGAAGAAAACATATTAACATGTTAAATATTCTACCAATTTACAGTATATGGTCATGGGTCAAAGCGACTTCTGTGCCTCTAGGATTCAGTTTCGCGATTCTCGGATTCTTCCATTACATGATGAAGCAACTAGACGTTTAATCGCGGGAAACTTTCGAATGAGTTTCGAAATATCATTCAGGGAAATTGCTTCGACGTGTTTAAATGGTTGCAGCTGGAAGCGTTCTGCTTCCTCGATACAACAGAGACGGTGTCGTTTGCCTCGATAGATTACGTGCGACATCTAACAGTGGCTCGAGAAGTTCACTGTCAACGGAAGATTACAGAAACAACGTCATTCCATTATTTATAGTTGTGACACGATGAAAGTATTTACTCAATGAATATCTGACAAAAATATTCATAAAATTTATTCGATTCATCGGTACCAATTCTTCAAATTACTTTATAGGGTATTTAAGTACAGTCTATTAGTATTCGACGCATGTTACCTAAACAATTAATAAAACAGGTCGAAACATATTGTGTTTACTTTGCAGGAAAAAGAAATAGTTTCCAGTCTTAATTCCATATAAGTAATTTCTTTACTGATCAATTATTTCGACGAACAGAGCAATATATAGCGTATTGAAATTACTTCCCAGATTAATTCATAGATTTTACTCAACTGTCAGGGCATTGAATCGACGTTACAGAAGGTCCTTTGTAATCTATTTGTAACTCAGCAATACAGCCTATCCAAACATGAACAAACTGTCTATCAAACTGACTCCAACAATGTTGCCAAGAAGGTTCCAGCAAACCTTGCTACCACCTTGCCGTGATGGTCCCAGAATAAGTCGAATGCGGCAGTGGTTTATCACGCAATATAGACAGTCTGACAAGAGAAGCCTATACAACACAACGTTTCTATTGTTCAGATTCTCCCCGACACTAACTTCCAAGTTGTAACTCAAACAACAAACTCTCAATGCACAAGCCCACATTTTCCGCCTCCCGTAACCACTATACAATTCCAAAGATAGAAAAAACCGTGAGCATATTCTAAAATTAAATTACCAGAAAGTACATCGGTGAACATCGGTATCATTGCTCCAAAAAACCTCAAAGTTCATTCTTGGCAACCCCCGAAAATTGAAGCAAAGAACCCTCGATCCAATGATCAATTATCAGAAACAAATCCACGAAGTCCCTGGCAAGGTTTGGCAAGTCACCAGAGTTTAAATTTCCAAGACACACCTGTGAAATATGCACACAGGTACTCCAAATATTTAATTACTCCAAAACACCTGAAAACTCACCCCTAACAACCACCGAAAATCGAATCAGAGGACCCTCGATCCAATGATCCACTATCAGAAGCAAATCCTCTAACTACGCTCCTGGCAATGACGCAAAAGAACGACGCAGGCGCGGACCACTGACGCCAGTCGGGCGTAGAAGGTTGCCCCGCTATAGGTCAGTCAGTGTCGAGCCGGCATCGCTCGCCGATCGGATGAGGGAAATGAAGTGAGTCGGTGACCGCGATTCGAGCGTGTAACGTCTGCTCCGCGGTTATTGCTCGCCTCGTGGGGGCGTTCACCGATACCTCCTGTCAAAATTCGCCTAACCAAAAGCTGATCGAATCCGCTGCTCGTTGGTGTACGTCAAAAGGACCACAGAAATACACGTGTGCGTGGGTGTGTGTGCAACGACGAAGGTTTCGCGCGCGTTGTAGCCGGGTGGCGCATGTTGCTCTCCTCGGGGTTCGATCGGCCGAACGACAGCTGGGAGAAAGTCTTTTCAGAGGGATGCTCTGAAACGCTGTCACATCGTTCAAGGTGAGCAACCCCCTCCCTTTTACGTCGTTCCCCATGCGTTCATGACCGGTTCCAGCAGACGATTCTAGTCAGCTGACTATATCACTTCTTCATCCTCCGGTGGATCCACACGCGTGTACATTGTGTTGTGTGTAGTGTCTCTCTGTGTGTGGGTGGGATTATTGTAGAGGCGGAATCGTAATAAGATGCGGGAGTGACAGCTGTCGAGTGTCGATACGGTTTAAAAAGTTCTCGATGATACGGGTGCAGGTTGTTAGATGACAATCGCGTTGTTTATACACACGCTGCCACTCGTACGTAACTTCTCCAACTTCACATTTCGCGAATTTTGTGAATTTTCAATTTTATGAATTTCAATTTTGTGAATTTTCAATTTTGTGTATTATCAATGTTGTAATTTTCAAAATGGAAATTTTTAATTTTGTGAATTTGCAATGATGGGATTTTTCCATGAAAACGGAATTTGGTTACTTTGTAGCTGTATCGCGAAACACTTTGTGGTAATGTGAATCTAACGGGAATGGAGAAATACTTGTGTAGATAGAAAGTATGGAGTAAATTAAGTCTTATTAAAATAGTAAATGCTTGGAGTTATCCGTTACATTTTGTGATAAGATCATGAATATTCTATTTCTGACGATGACAGTGGATCAGGAATTAATGAGAACTAAAAATCTATACAGTAATCCCTCGAATAGATCACAATTTGCGTCGTAGATCCTAAATCTCCCGGCACCGAATTGCAGTTCAAAGACGTCCGGCAACTTTCTACCGGTCGATTAAGCGGAATTAATATTCCCAAGGAAAAGCAGAAGGTCTCTACGACTTGTTCGGCCTACTATTTCGAAACATTCATATCGCCGCGATTCCTTCTGACCTGGAACGCCGGAAACGAGCACGATTTCAACGACGTGGAACACGAATCGCTCATAAAGCCGCTGACATTTCGCGAGTTTACGATTTTCAGAGGCAGAAAGCGTTGGCCCGAGAAATTTAATCGATTAAGAAATTATACAGAAAGAGTCAGATAGAAATGAATCATCGTACGTGTCCATTAAACCGAATAGGCAGTGAGATTTGGTAAAAATGTAACTTTTTGGGAAAACTAATCACAAGAAAATGAATACAAAGTGTGATCCCATTTGGCAACGTTTATTGAGACTATAATCTATAAAAATCATTTTCTCTATAACATATACGTGCATGTTTTTTTTTTCTTAGAAAGAAAAAAAAATCAAAGTTATAGAAATGGCAAATTTAAAAAAAATGTGATTTTTCGCTAAGAAAAGAACAATTTTTTTTGTCAAAACAGGAGTTTTTACAGACTTTTACATAGATTCAGTCCTTAACTAGGAATGTTTTACATATGCTCAATATTTGGAAATCGGTTTCAAGCTCCGTTTTTTGGCAATCGCAGCAAAACCTCAAAAAAAAAAAAAACGCTTACACATAGGACGACTGTAGAACCAATATTTTTGTCTGTTATACGTTTCCCCGTGACGTTCTAATCATAAGGTAATTTATGCATAATATACGACTGACGATGAGTTTAACAAAATAAAAATATTTTGTCTTCGAGGAAGAATTTCAAGGATATCAACAAACATTTCATGCGGTTGATACAATACGGCCCGCAAGGGTAGGGTCCCTTTGTTTCGTTCTTTTCGGGAATAATACATCAGTCTTTGTCCGCTTAGGCGATAATGCAGACCGGCTTACCTGCTCAGGTGTTTACATGCCGTAGGAAACCGCGAATGATTACAAACGCTCCATTCATACGGCGATGACGCAGCCGAGAAATTATACCTGTGAGGCATTGTTTTTGTCGGAATCATGAAAACTAATAGATCACTGGAAAATTAAATGTCAGTATGAAAATTATATAATTAAATTTTTCTTCTTTATACATAAAAATTATTCTAGTTTGTCCTGAATATCCAAATATATATCCAAAATTCCCCGGTGAGTATAAAAGTGGTGTAAGTCAAAAAACCAGTTTTTATTTTATTTTATATTTCAATATTATGTAAGAATTTTCGACAGGAAAAATATATGACTTACTCCACTCTTACAGTCACCAACACAATTAACGATGTTCATGAAAATCGTATATTCAACAATGTCCTAACAGGACCTAATAACCTGGCAAATTCAATTATACGTGTAATATGACTTCCAGCTCTCTAATTGCGAAATTAACTAAATGTGATCGGAACGATAGTGTGTAGAGTCAGACAGGGCATTTAACTACTCCGTTAATCGGACATTAAGTATCGGTCGTCGTGTCACGGGCAAATCCAACGCGACTTGTAGTCACCCTAAAAAGCTTAACGAGCTCCGTGCACTCCCTTAATCAACCCCCCCCCCCGCGTTCCGTCGCGTGAGGCACGCACCCACGCAGAAATGCACGCAATGTGTACACGTTTCTTTGTAAATGAATACACGTGAAATTTAATGGGATGTAGCGGAAGGGAATCAAAGCAACAAGACGAGATAGAAGTAATTATTCCGGGAAGACCTCCCTCGGGTCACATGACACATTACGACCTTTTTTACACGATTCTGTTAAAGAAGAAACAGTACGTATTTTATGCTAATTAAGTAGCACTTACAGAGAAAACAGTAATCCATTGCGCAGCATTAGTTACTTTTTCCACTCACTTGCCTGGTATAGTCACGTAATTGTATAAGGATATTCTGATACTAACTTAATTCCAGTGATAGTCATTCTATACGTTATAGTTCCTAGTATTGTGATTGTATATTTAGACACGTGTTTAACCACTTCTGAGAACATCTTTACAGTCGTTTAATTTTTGTAGGGACACTAGATTTGATATTACCCCCTACACACCTGTTCGTCAGTGCATATTAAGAAATTAAAATTTTGTTGGTCCGAAATAAATATTGCCTAGGGAATTTTAAAGCTCATTAGACAACTGTTACTGTGTAATATTTATGAAATATCAACAATTCGATATTCATATAAATGTTTTTGTAGGCACTGTATTATTTATGTACAATTCTACTTATTTATTTATAATGGCATTTTAACTAGAAACACCTTCAATCAGTATGACGGTACAGTTACAGTCTTTTAATGAACGTTAAATTACAAATCCGTGGGCGGTCAATAGGATACAATGGCCGTCCATCGGGCATTGGAAAATCAATCACAACGCAGGTAGCGGTCGAACGTTCATTCAGTAACGACTCAGCCTTATCATCGTGCGTAACAGTGTACACGTTTTCTATACGGTGTTGATCGAGCGTCTGGAACGTCGAAGGCTAAAATTATCGGGATTCCACAATGCCTCTGTCATCGACTTCTATTCACAGTAACCTAACGAACACCGATCAACCGGGACCACTGATTTAGTTCGACGTTAGTTACGTTTACAAGTACACGGGGAATATCGAGAATACAAATTGTAGGTATTGGTATACAAACACCTGTCGAAGTTCTGTATCGTGTTATCTGTTTGCCAACTGGCGATCGATAAGATAACGAATCCTTTTTTCGCAGGATGGACGGAATTTTCGTCGAGCAGCAAAAATTCAACGTAAACATGAAAAACATTAGCTATTATGATCGTGCAATAAGTAAACAAACATAATTTTGTCATTAAGAATTTTGTTGCAGAAAAAAAGGTGCATAGTACCAGCACTTTATTATATTAATAATAATAGTTTATTGTAACTGGCATACATTTGGCCAATATACATTTAAGCAATAGAAAGAACTTATTATAATAGAATTTATCTTAATCATAATTAACATTAAAAAATAGGAAGAAGAGAGAAAGAAAGGAAAGTTCTTTAGAATAATAAATCTTTTCCATTTTCTTGATTTGATTGCAATGTCATTAATTTATTATCTCTTCTTTATCCAGTAATATGATTTATACTTGTGTCGTTTCATTCGTATGCATTTCTCAAATCGGCTTAGTAGGAACATAAAGACACGTAGTCGATTGAAATGCAGCCCAAAGCGCCGGGCTTGCTTAAGTAACACAGCATGCACTCGCTGCAAAGTGAATTCACTGACAATTTGCTTATACTCGCGACTACGGCCTCTCGAGTTTCACAGACCGCATTTCAAACGATATTTACTTGCTATCTTTAAATTAATATTAATTTTCGTCTACTGAATAATTGCAGTTGTACAACTTACATAATATTTTAACATGCAGGTGTCGAACAGATTAGCAGAAAGTATTTAACTGGATTCTTTACATGCACAACTTATTTCTTTGAAACTTAAATAATATTCGCGATTACACAATGGCTTGTTTATGTAAATTTCCATTTTTCTAGACTACTTCGTTTAAGGCACAACTAAAAAAAATCTAACCAAATAGGAGTTTCTTCCTATAACATCTGTTACTATTCTTATTTCATTATCTTAGACGATATCAGCTATCTCAGAATGACAAATATTTTTAATCCTCTAAGGACAAGGTCCGAGTTTTATTCGACCCAAGTTATAGTTCCTGTTGTGCTGTCCACATTCTACTTTATCTTATTTCTTTAAAATTCTCGTTTGGAAATATTTTATATTGTTTAGTAAACGTTTCATTCTGACATTATTATATGACTCAATTATTATTCTTTATTATACAAGTAAACAAAAATACAAGTTCAAGATAATCACTTTCTGTACCCGTCTGAAAATAGCAAAGAAGAATTCGGGTCAAATCCGACCCAACTTTACCAAGCACGACCATAAAACCCACTTTACCATTCGAGGGTTACACGATAGGTATCGTTTTAAATTACAAAATAATTCCTGCTTATTGGAAAGTAATATTCAGCGGAGCAAATATAGAAATTTATATGAATTAGTAATCTGGTGGAGTCAACAGCTCATAATCGAGGAACACTTCTTGACCTTCCTGTATGTAACATATGAATCCATATATTCGTATATACTTGTATCATCGATCGCGTATACCGCTGTCAATCCGTCGTTTATTAAAAAAGGTGTGTTACTCCACCTTTTTCCGTAGCCACGTAGACCCCCGATAAGACGATCCACCAAAAGAAAGCATGGGACCTCTTAATGGATCCCGTAGAGACCCACCCCCGCAACGAATTACACATCGTATTCCACCGGCATCGTGTTTCTCGTGTGCAACCATGCGAGAATCAAGGTAACCAATCGCGTAAGAGTCCTGATTTTTCCCACTGTGGACAGGAAGTTCCATCCAACAGAATTCGTCATAGCGTAAATTGAACCATTGTGTAAATTGCAATTATACGAATTATCGTCAACAATCAGGTGATAAAGCACGGAAAAATCTACTGAGCTCTTATTTACATCGTTCACTATACAGAAGATACATTATATTTATTAATAATTCTCTAATTTATTATTAATAATTCCAATTTCTATTATTTAACTCATCCTTCCATTCTTCATACATATTCCATTCCTTATGCTACTCCTCTTCTATCACTCCATTTCTTCTCTAAATTTCCTTACTTTATTTTCAACCTTTCCTAACCAATCTACTGTTTTCTCTTCGTTCCTTCCACATAATATTTCCTCTAACAAATGTTTTAGCATACCCCTGCCATTGTTACAAATTTCACACCTACACTCACTATCCTCTAACCAGTATCGATACGGAAAATACATATGTTATCATATTTCACTGACAAATTACAAATTGAAGGAATAATTATCATTATGACCTGCGTATATAGAATCGTGTTGCCACGATCGTTTTATGGTACCATTACGTCGTTCGATTATATATGTGATCTAGGTCAGGCAATAAGAGAATGGAGGAGGATAAACGATAAAATCTTGTAAGTTTATCCGTAGATTGAAAACCATCGGGATGAAAATAAGAATAATTTCTTTAGCGATACTAACAATATCAGAAATATAAATTTTGCAGAATAATGTACATCATCGATATTAATTTTACTTTCTCCGTCTTTGGTGTTGTCGCGTCTGTTTCCGTGTATCGTCATATTTCGATGGTGAACCACGTTCCTGAAAGCAGGACAGGCGCACCTTTCCGCGGATCACTGTCCGATCCCCCCATGTAATTGTCCGATAATTAAGTTGGGCGCGCCGCTTTTTATCGAGACCCGCCGAAAGCTCTTGTTCTCGGAGAATCGCTTCGTCAGGCGACGATGTCGAATTCACTTTCCTCGTTCATCGATCCGTGATATTAACCCGCTCACTGCATTTTTTTGGTATCATGTTCAAAATTTTTTTTCATAAAACCAACAAATAATAGTCATTTCAACACTAGAACTACCGATCGGTGGATAAACGTGAAAAACTTCTGAAAATTTAGAAATTAACTAATTTCTGCACTTTCATATCGTAATAAAAGGTGCAAAAGATCTGAGAAAATCTCGTCTGGCGCTCTGATTGGTCGGGGTTTTTCGTTAATATCTCGTTAACGAAGCCTCGGTAACATTTTTTCCAAGGAAAACGTTGTTTCAAATCACTCTAGGAACCTTTTATTTTCGAGCTGTGGGTTCGAAGCTATTTTGGGACACCCTGTACATATGTTTCGTTAATATTCCCTGAAAAATCAATTTTTCCTGACGGAACAGATTTTTGGCGCTATTTGTTTGAAAGGTGAAGGTGAGGTAGTGAAAACATAGGGTTAAACTGAGAGACGTCAACGTCGACGTCTGTTGGTAAAACGAGGTTAAAGGTATCGGACTGCGGCAGGGTCGTATCGATTCCGGTTAAAGCGCTGAGACTGCCACTACGAAATCTCGAGATGTTGACGGCGTGGATCGTGGATCGTTTTACGAGCGGCGTTTCCCCTCTGTTTCAGGGTGAAAGGCCATCCGAGTACGAGCGATGACGAAGTATTGGCTGAATGTGGCCCTCCTCAGGGTCGTTCTACCGGTTGTCCTGACAATATGTGAGTATCGATTCGAATAATTATTTATTACACGTGTCTACTTCTTATATAATTTATTATAACGTGTCTGTTTCACATTGAACCGTTAATCGGGTCTACTTTGCAGGTAGTAATTTTTTAATTTAGAGAATAAAAATAAAAGTTCTAATGGACTACCAAACTATTTATGTGTTATTATTAAGATAGTAAAACCCCTAGTTTAGATATTGATATCTGAAATTATGAGTGCATAAAAATCCACAGTTTACTTATGACATACCCAATTTTTTGTAAAAACAGAATTGGATGTATTTATAAAAGAATAGTAAATACCGTAACATTGAGAAAGTGAGTGTCAGGATCTTTTTTAAATAAAATTATCGATGTATATAGCGGAACTAAGAGTCCACGGGTTGACCGTTCTATTGCCGTGCGATGTTTAACACTGTCATTAATTATCAGGACGTTATCAGCGGCCACATGTGCCAGATCGTTTCATAGTGCGTCATACCGTATCGAAAATAACGTTTCTACATCGTCTACGAAGGATCTCGATTTTCCTTTCAATTGCGACAACAGTTTTTTTAATAACGACAGCTAAAATAAAATTTCTTCAACTAGTGAAGGAATAAAAATAACGAAACGTAAGTAAGAAATAAACAAATTACAGTTACAATCTTTTAAATCATTTTTAATTTCATTTGGTCGAAGTTCTAATAAAATTGAGTATCTTCAAAGAAATATTTAGACTTCAACTATCGATACTTATATTATTATATGTTATATAACTCAGTTATTATTCCTTATTATATATTAAACGAAAATACCAGTAACAATTTTTAACCCATCTGAAAATAGCAAAAGAGAACCTTTTACTTATCAAGTGCGACTTAAAACCCACCTTACCATTCGAGGATTAAAAAAAGATAAGTCGAAGGGTATCGTTTCGGGATTCTTCAGGTGACAAAATGAAAAATGAGGTTTTCGAACGCAGTCGGAAGTTCGTACAATAAGCGTACACACGTAAATTTGAGAAAGTACTTCGGAATACCACGTTGACAGCGACGGGACACGTTTAGACTCGGTTTACAAGCGCCGTCTATAATTAGGTGAGCACTGGCTCCTCAATTCCAGGTTTATTGTCAATCTTCCCGAGAATACAGTGTGAACCACGAAACGTGATCAGCTTAGTTAGATTATTCTGTTGCTAGCTGTTCGGCCAAAAAATTTGTTGGCTAGTATAACATAATTCAAGAACAGCTTAAAGGTGATTGAATCAAATTTTTTTATCAACCCTTTTTTCCAGAGTTTTCAAAGTCGAACAATAATTTCATCAACGTTTTATCGTCTCGTTAAAAGTTCTCGCCGAATGTTTCAAGAGAAAAAAGGATGCTTCGGTTCATTCCACTATACTTTTATCTATCGCGGCAGTTTCGAGAGTTCACTTTGATCAAACTGACCCGAATCACCCAGCGTAAAAAAAGGAGGAATTACGACTCTGCTGTTGAACGTGTGTCCGTTCTTATCACGCGAGTTATCGTCTCGTAGAAGCCGAACAGTAATTAGTTGCCCGCGTTTAAGGCCATTAGCGACGTCGCGTTAAAATGTGCAATGTATAAAAACATTTTTCCAGTCGTGTGTTCTATTAATATCCGATCGACAGGTCCTAATTAAAACTCAAATCAATCGGAATTAAACGGAAACACGCTTCGTGGACGATATTTCGAGCGCAACAAATGCGACGCAACAGAAAACTGGAATAAACGAAGCTAGGGAATTATTCGTCGAGAACGAATGCTTCAGTTTGCTTGGCAGCTGGTCAAGCTTTTCGTTTGTGCACGCGAGAAAATAGTAAGCAGAATATCTGCACTCTCCGAATAGAAAGCGTTCTTGTCGACGGAAATCGAAGGCAAATGTATTCGAACACGATTTCGACGGAAATCACTTTTTATTTATTTTCGTGGTATTTTCGAGGACTGTTCCCATTTAATTATGCAACCATGTGTTTATCCTTCTATGAGTCATACGTATTAGATGGTTCGTGGAGGATTTAAGTATTCTTAGAGGTACGATAATAAATGTAAATTCAACGTTTTCGATATTTATAGAGAAGAATCATTGAAACTCTTGGTGAGATTCGGGGAGGGTCTGAAATGTCAGATCTTATGAAGTCTTATCTCTCAACTCCCTACCTCTGCTGACCTTTTAACGACTCGGAAATTCTTTCCCCCCCGTTGATTCTATTGCCAGAATGAATGCATTTCTGTGGTATGACGAATATCCTTTAGAAAAGGTCATAAACTGAGAATGCTTACAGAAGTTGAGAAATAATTGGATTGCAAATTTTGTAGGGTGCTTGAGAATACAGAACTGTATAGAATGAAAGTTCTTGCGAACGTACAACATAGATTCAGCATATTAAAATACAGTAAATCTTCGACGAGTGTACGATGGCTTCTCGACACTGACAAGCAGAGGTCCTCAGGTGTAACGTTGACTTTCTAAGGAGGTTAAGCATAGTAATAGTGCTTAACTAGAATAGAGCCTTCGAACACTCATCGATGATTTACTGTATGTGTTCGTATAAATATCCACACATGACAATAATAAATGCAACACAGTTAAAGGTCCACATTATTTTATTAAAACAGGTACAGTATGGCGGCCTGTAGGACTGTCCTTGGTCTACCTGGGCCTGATGCTCTACTCACCCCACGTACCAATACCAAACACAAAGACAATGGCGGGCCATACGGGAATATACCTGAAGTCCTGCATCGGCCTATCTTTCCTCACAGCAGTCAGCCAATTCACGTTTCACATAGTTCTGTTAGCGCTGCCTGCCTATGGTCACTTTCTTCACAATTGTACGTAAACGATTACAGAAAGTGACTTCGTCGAAATATCGAGTGATCACGTCTTATACACTTCTAGGCGAGTCGCTGGAAGTGATCTTCAGACATTTAGGTTTCGTAAGACTAGATAGCGCGTCCCCCTGGGAGATCTTCTTCTGGTTGACACCAGAGCTAGTTGTTTTACCCACCACCGTCGCGGTGTACTTCATATGTCGTTCCTTAACGCAGGAACGTGTGTCTGATGTAGAAGATGACGCTTCTTTGCACAGGGTAGCTAACACCTCCAGGAAAACCGAAGACAATACCGCGAAGGTAAATCATTATTCCTATTAAGGGGCTATGCTAGTGTGATGGCTATATAATAAGGCAATTTTTGGGAATTTTTTAAAGAAAATCTACTGGAGTTATCAATTTGAATAATATATATATTTACTTAATAATATTTCGAAAGTATGCTATATTTTTATAAAGTAAAAACAGTGTATTTTTTCGAAGTTACAGTTCGTTTGTGAGAGCGTCTTAACAAAATTTCCTTTCCTTTTCACGACTCTTGTGGTTGTGTGAAATAAAAAAAACAAATATTTTCTTAATTTGTATGTGTGTGGCTATAGTCCGTACTTGCAAAAAAAAAAATTTGATTCTCTGAAACCGTCACAGTAGCATAGCCCCTTAATCGAATCTTTGAATTTCTGCTAACCATGTCAACGTTTGCCTCCCACACGCCATAGGCTCTAGAGACAAATGTTAATTTTCGTTTGTCCAGATAATCAATTTTCTTGGACGTATAGGGACCTACGTGGTCCTAGCCTCGTTATGCATCGTGTCTGCCCTGAACCCATCCATAGAAGGTGGTTTCTACTTCCTGGTGTTCCTTGGCGCCGCTACCTGGTGGGCGTGCAACAAGGAGCTCCGAAAGGGTTTCGCTGTGCTCTGCAGGATCGTGATGGTGATCGTGACCCTTCATATCCTGACACTGCTCACCTACCAGAATCAAACCCCTCAGGAATTAATCCCATTGAACAGCACTTGGCAACGATACCTGGCCCTATCCGCGATCTATCAGACGAATTGCAGCGATCCTAGGAACGTGGAGTACACGAACGATGCCGATTGGTTGATTTACGGCTACTGTTTGAGGCTGTTCTGGCTCTATTACGTTCTGACGTTACAGTCGCAGTTCCTGAGCATAAAGCCGGTGAGTTTTATGCTGTTCGTGTTCCTCCTTTCATTAAATGTGTTGGGACTAATTCAGATTGAGCGAATTTAAAATTATAATCAAATCGTCGAAATCTTATTATAGCCTGACGTGGAGACAAGGATTGGTTACTTGGATTTGTTTCAAAAGCATGATTATTCGCCCTTGAATTGACGAGATATCGATATATTATAACACTCTATATTGATAGAGATTTAGTTTTGTCCCTCGATTATAAAATGATTAATATGACACGTTTCACTGGAACTCAAGCTTTCGAATTTTCTGTCAGCAGTGTACGTAACATCGTTCGTACTAATGTCGAATGTTCGAATCGTTCTAATATCAATTGCCTGTCACTGCCCCGATTAACTTGTCTGCGGTTCAGGAGAACGATTAACACCGGTGTCCACCTCTCTCTAACTCGTTCTAAGCTTCCACAGTTTCTCGACTAACCGTTTTCGAATACAATGAATAACACCGACCTCATATCCGAAGAACGTTGCTTTTACTAACAAGGCGTTACAGGCGAAGAAAATGAAACGTTTGAGCGGAAAGCTGGAGAATCTGGACACACCATTGTCCAGACATGTGTCCATCAGGCGAAGGACACCTTCACAAAGATGGCAATCGGCGAGACGAAAGGCTCGCGTAAGGATCTTGTCCTGCATGAGCCAGATATTTCGATTTTTTCCTAGATCCTCGCTTAGATCTTTCCGTTGTGTTATGAAGAAAATTGTTTTGGAATGGTAGACATTGGTACATGCCATATTTCGACTGTAAATTTTACCATCGACTCATTTAAATTCTAAGTTACCTAAAGTGTGATTGTAATGATGATACAACCGCGAACGGAATGATTTGTTATGTAAAAAATGAATGAAATTTATTTTTACGAGATTTCATATTCCAGAAAATTAATTTAAAAAATTCGTCGAATACACGTTACACCGAATGCAAGTTCATTGGTGTGTCTGTCTATGACGTACTGTTTCTACTTGTTTCAGACTCTAAGCCAAATTGAGTTCAAAAGAAGTTTATTCCATTTTTCTGATTCATTGTTTAGGAGAAGTCACTTCATTTTAAGTTGTACCATCGTCACGATCACCTTCCAATATTTCATTTCGTGATCGACTTCCTCCAATCAAGAGCAAATACAATTGAGTTTCTGTAAATAGATCGATTTTTCATTTGCGAATGTACGGAATGTTGTGTGTTACGTGAAGGTATTTCTTTTCCACGTCCCATCAGGTCATACTTGATTTTTTATTTGCTGTCGCCTTCCAGATTCGCGGCTGCTCTTTAACGCTGAAGCGAATCTCTTTTCCGTTTGGATGCCGCTATGTTTAGTTTGCCATTGTTTTAGAGGCCGATCGTTAATTCGTCGTTTCCAACAGCGAACGAGCGCACACCCGTACGTATAATGATTATGTTTGCATGTTTAATTATCAAAACAATTCGCCACTGCTAATTCACACAACAGCGATCATTCTCAACACAAACGTTTCGTTACGCCATAAATAATCGTTATAACTGACAATATGAATCGTTCGTTTTCAATTCTATATTCTATTCTTTTCTGAAAGTCAGTCTAGCTAGCGGTGGTGGTAATGATCATTTCGCTTCATGAAACTTGCATGCGTGTGTCTCAAGATTTTGCTTCAGTCGTTCAGTGGGTTACGAAAGTAGATTATTAGGTATCGTGTAATTAGTGGAAAACGTTCGAGGTTCTATTGAACTACATGAAGGACAGTGTTCTGTATTTTTTTTAAATAGTTAATGAGGTTTGGGTCTGGCCGAACGGGATTACTTCAGGACTCTACCGGAAGCGTCATCGTTCAGGATGGTCATCAGGATGATGGCATCCCAATGCACAGTTTCAGCGAAGGTAAACTCGCGAACCACAGGTCTTTATGCATTTACGAATCAAAGTAAACTAATCTGTTTCCTAGGTGCTCCAGACGATCATTCTGGAATCATCGAGAACATCATCATGGCTGTCTACTCCATCTTCCAGTTGATAGTTAATTCATCTTACCTCGCTACAAACATCACAATGATGGTACGAAGAATATCAATAAGTTCCCAAATATCTAATATAATTAATATATTTTTTTCAGACCTGGAGTATAATGTACCATAGCTGGACTACCTTCGCCCTTCTACTGTGGGCCCTGATCCTCTGGATGCTACCCAACAAACGCGCTTCCATGATGAAATGCTCTCCCTTCATTGTTTTTTACGCGACCGTTTTACTGCTTGGTCAGTACATTTACAGCATGGATTTGACTGAAGAAGAGCTACCGACTCAAATAAACGGGGTGATGATGTCGGAGATAGGCTTCAGCAAGCCTCAAGAGCTTGGTCGCTGGCATTTAATAGTCAAAGTACGAATTGTTCCGCATAGATCATTCAGAGCTGCTTCCTTATAGATCACACTAGTCTCTCAGTGGACTTGGAGGATCATCTAACTTTGACTTATTTTCACCTCGTATCTTCATGAAATCCTAAATAATATTTTCTAGTGCCTCTTCATAACAATATTTTGGATAACAATGAGACAATACACCGCTGAAAGGACACGCCAGAGGCGTTCCTCGACGTTGAGAGACATGGTGGCCCCACTACACGTCTCCGTGTCGACAGCCACCACAGCCATGAACCACGAGGTACCAGAAATTAAAAGTAAATTCATGAAAGACGTCGGAATACTCCTGAAGAAACTGTTAACTAAATTCTGGATCGCTGTGGTGGCCATCATGCTCTTCGTCAGCGGAATCACGGGAGAACGTATGACGGTCTTCAGGATCGTCTACATGTCCCTTTTCCTTGTTCTAATCATTACGTTCCAGGTGTGTATACGAAGAAAATCTTTGATAAAATTACGATACAGTTTATTTTATAATATATGCATCCTGTAGATCTCCTGGACTGTTTGGAGAAAGATGATGTACACATTCTGGCTGACTGTCATTGGCTACTCGGTGATCATGTTGATCCTCGTCTACACGTATCAATTTAACAATTTCCCAAAATACTGGAACTATCTGCATATTGATGAAGACCTGCAAATGGATATTGGCTTGGAAAAATACGCGACCAAAGATCTGTTCGTCAGATTACTGACACCGACGTTTTTCGTCATCATCACAGTTCTTCAGATTCATTACTTCCACAAAGAGTTCCTGGAAGCGACAAACATCGAGAAAGTTGGGTTAGTGGAATTATTTAAACATATTTAATTCGATTATTTCACAATCTCTCTGATTACATAATTTTAGAATCGAAGCAAGTCCTGTTACACAAGTGAATCTCGATCATTCGCAAACATTGAATTTACCACCGACTTCGCCAACAGAAGTCTTCCTTGCTGAAGAGGATGGCCATGACACTCCATACACTCTTCGACAATTGAAACGTAAATTTTGATGATATCCTTAACTAAATAAAAAAATCAATTATCTCGGCAAATCGATCTCGATCCTGCTTCCAGGAATGTCGAAAATAGAACGAATCGCGCTATTTCGGAGGATAATCACGCATCTGGTGAATTTCTACAACTACATCTGGCTGTTCCTCGAAATTCACATGCAGAAGATAATCTTCACTTCGGTGATGCTCCTCTGTGTCAATGACGTGAGTCGTGATTAATCAATTGTATTCGAATAATCGAATTAAAATACAACACGAGATCCCATTCCGACTTTCCAGGTCTGCGCCATTAATTTCGTATTCGTCGTGATAGTAGCGATCATGATAAACGCCAAACGAAACATTCAAATTTTCACTGTGAACATGATCGCCGCGGTAATTGCTTTTCTGATGGTCGCGAAGATGCTGTACCAAATCCAGTACATCGATCACAATAACTGGAACGTGAATTGCACAGTAGGTACTTGCTCTCTATAAAACCATCTTAATAAGATCATTTTCTAATTCATCGTTTTCAGAGCCACGTGAATGAGACTGAGAACCCATTTTCGAGCAACAATACCGTGTATAATATAGCAGAGTGGTTCGGTATGAAGAAAGCAGAGCCAGGAGAACTGGCCGAGCTGTTAAAAGGATACATAGGAATCATTGTAGTAACAACAGTAAGGAAAATCATCAGGATCCGACAATGTTTCTATCGAAAGGAAATCGGAGAACCCTTGGACACGCCTCAAGTGATGTTCCCCTCGATCACCAGGGCGGACGCTGACAAAGGCATACCAGAATGCCTAAAATTCTTCTTCAACTATGGATTTTATAAATTCGGCTTAGAACTATGTCTTATTGGAATTGTCGCGTTAATTGGCACGCGACTCGATTTTTATTCGGTTCTCTACGGTGTCTGGCTTCTGCTACTATTTTCATTGAAAAGGAAGACTATATCCAGGATATGGCCATTCTTCAGGGTCTTCGGAATTTTCCTGCTGCCTTTACAGTATTCCTTGGTCGTTGCACTACCCTCCTGGCTTTGTATAGGTTGCTAAACATTTATAGAATATCGATCAGTTTATTGGACCAAATAGTAAATGGACGGTTTAACTTTCAGACTATCCATGGAGTAATTCGGAAATACTCAGAAGGCTACAGGAATGGATGTACTTCCCTGATCCTGATTTTCCTCCGAATCCTAGAAAACTGATGTGTAGGTTTTTCATTTCGTTAAAAAACACTCTTCTACTCTTGAATAATTTATTTTCTTCAAAATAAACAACAGACAGTATTATATTCTGTTTGGAAGATCATCTTCGTCTTCGCTTTCCTTTCAGGTGATTTCATCCTGCTGATGATGATAGTCCGACAGAGCATATACTTCCACATCGAGCAACGAACCTCTGCGACTGGCAAAGAGTTCCCAGGCGACCATAATTATTCCGTGTATGAAAACATGGAGAAGCCTAATTTCGTGAATCCAGTGAAAGACTACGTGTCACACATTCATTCGTGGTTAGACGTTATAAAAAGGGGTGTCATGATGAGTCTCATGTGGGTCACTCTGTCGATCATGTTCCTGGCTGGAACCAAGAGAACCAATCTATTCTCGTTGGGTTACTTGATTGGTGCTTTCGTGTTCCTTTGGCAAGGTAGCGATTTCTACCTGAGACCGGTCAGAACAATCTTAAAATGGTGGAATATATTGATCGGTTACAATGTGGTGGTCATCTTCTCGAAAGCTTTGCTTCAGGGAGTCGGTTGCGTGTTAATCAAACAGGTATACCACGATTGATAACAAAATTAGAAGTTCTATTTCTTAATCTATATATTGGATTTCAGCTGGAAGTCTCTGCTTGCCCAGTGATCCAATTATTTGGTATAACCTGCCTAAGAAAGTTCGAGACCTCAGCCAGCGATATAGTGACCGGCAAAGTGGACTGCGAAGTTCCACGAGAAGATATAGGCATGGTCTGGGACGGTCTTTGCTTGAGCTTCCTGTTGCTCCAGAAAAGGCTCTTTAAGAGCTACTACTTCTTCCATATAGTCGACGAAACCAAAGCCATGAGCGTCCTGGCATCCCGAGGCGCTGAACTCCTAGAGGAACTGCACCACAAACGCATTGACATTCAGGATTACGTTGAAAAGAACGTTTTGCAGAAACTAAAGTTCAAGATGGACAAGATCAAGGCCAGCCAGCGAAAGATACAGGGACCTAGTTATAGAGAACCACAAACCCACAAAGTTGGTAAGTCTGTAATTTCAATGATCTTAACGAATGTATGCTGCAGGGCAATCATCGACGAGACTTCTTCCGTCAAAAGCAGATTAATCTATCTAATCAGTTATTCCGTCAGATACCCAAATTATAGACTCTTTTCTAAAGGACTTCTAGATCGTGATCAGCCTTCAATACGGCACCTCCCAAGAGTCTAATCAAACCCTCTCTACCGTACCGATCGATTAATATTTAATTCCTCGAGTCCACTAATCCACAAGCAACCAGAAACAGTCGTAGTTCCAGACGTAAGGTACCCCAAGTAGATCCCTCAGACCCTAACGTCAGATCTCTATATTTAATGCACCCGTAACGAAAGAAGGGGAGGCGCCTCTGGCGAGGTCTTCCAGCGTCTGTTCTTGCGTGTCCCCGAATCACACGCCTCCTCAAGGTTACCAGACGCCGATCGACGAGGACGACGACGACGACCCGGCTCCGCTGACGCCGCGCGCCGCATCCCTATTGCAGGCGCCGACCCCAAATTCAGCGATCATGACAGTGAGCCTCGAGGGCTATCTCGAGCCGACTCGTATTTCTTTCGGTTCTCCGCCAAGTAGCGAGCTGAATCCACGCGGACCATCGCCTGATGAGACGTTCCCAGTGTTCTCTCCGCCGCCTTATGGTCGTCCGCCACGTGATCGATCGCTGAACTCCTCGGTCAGGCATCGACGACAGTCCAGTTACGTCGGTCCACCGTGGATGAACGAGCTGAGGACACCCAGGCAGTCGATCGTCTCCACCACGTCCCGTTCCCCGCTGTCACATCACACATGTAACGACACATACACACACCCGGGATCAAGATCGTCGTCGTCGATCTGCTACGTTGTCCTGTACATACGCTTCCGCGATCTGCACCTCTAGATCATCTACGGAGCACCCTTATGTTTCTTCATTTTTGTTCCTTAGTTTTGGCGAATTCTCGGGACTATTCTGTGGCAACCAGATGTTGGTGGGTCAGTGGGATTAGATGGGGGATCTCTCTAGGTCAGGGGTGGCCAACGTATGGCGCATTGGAAGATTACATGTTGCGCATTTCATTATAAAATTTCTCAAGTACCCCATATTGCCCTACTTTCCAACCCCAACCATGAACGTAAGAAAAAATTGGCACATGGTATGTAAAAGGTTGGCCACCACTGCTCTAGGTTATTGAGTAGAAGAATGGGACATAATGGATATATCAATAGTTTAGAACAGAGCGGGGCAACTCGTGCTCTGAGAGCAGAGTTGCCCCTCCCAGATTACCACCACTATGGTCCTACGATGGCTTGCTCAAGCTGCGGCGGGAAGACATTATTGGTGGGGACACCCGTGCGAGGAAATTTGAGGACCATAGTGGAGGTAACCTGGGTGGGGGAACTCGAGCCGCCAATACTTTCGGAGTACTAGTTGCCCAAGTCTGTTTTAGAGCAAATAATGGGGATAATTCTTCTTCCTTGGTGAACCAGTTGATTACATATGGGGGATAACGGAACGATCTAGACTGTAGAGTTTTTAAGAGTTCTGTGAGAAGATCGTATCTGGTTCTATGAGCAAAGATTAGTAGCTCACTACTGGAAGAATCGATAATGACCAGCCAACATTACTAACGCCCACCACGATTGAATCTCTTCGATCTTCAAATCCTTTTGATTTCTGTACGGATATCGTCACGATTTATTTCTTCGGTATTTCTTCCTCTTTCAAGAGTAGAATTCTGTTGTCTGCTTTCGTTTCTATCGATCTCTATTCGATGTCGTGTCTAGAAGATAGGTGTAAATAATTTTTGGTACCGCTAGAGACCAATTTCCGTGTTCTGTATATGTTTTATTCGGTTAGAATCCTGCATTACATCCATCCCATCTCATCACTTCCCCGTTGATCAACCCGTTTCACAGGGTAGAAAATTACTCAAGCCCGAAAATCCGTATTCTCTTTCCGACAGATCCGTCGAGGACTCGAGGACTCTCCGACTGATTATTGTAATATAGAGATGTATATTATCCGTACGCGCCGATGATTTTTTCTTACTGTTTTCAGTTTTCTATCTCTCTACTTTTGTGTTTCTTCTTTCTGTTAGATACTCTCTATCCAGGGGCACGGCCGTTGTACAGAGTTCGCGCGCCAAAGACCAACAGAGAGGGTAAATGAACATATCTTTCTTTTCTTCGCAGTTTGTGCGGGCTTTATCCTAAACGACGTCCACATCCCTGACTAACCGTCCTTCTGCTTTTACAGAAACTACCACACCTGTAAATAATTATTTTGTATCACCACTAAAACGATCTAGCCGCAGTGGACGCACATTCGACAGGCTTTCAAGGCCACGTTCACACTTGAGTAACGCTACGGTGGAGGGACAATCCCATAGAATAACCTTGAACCGCCAATTCAGTTTGCGTCTACTATGTTTGTGAGCGTGTCTGTGTATGAGTGTGTGTATACTAATAATTTCTATTAATTTAACAAATGTATATTTTCTAACATTTAGCGCAAAACAATTGGAACGGTGTTTTCTCTCTAAGCATTATTATTCTGTTTAAAGAACGAAGTGCATGGCTTTGGCTCTATCATGTAAGTGATGGGTTCCGGGATCTTCGAGATGCTGAGAGAAATCCGTTCTTTTTCTTTTTTAAACAGCTATTAGATCCGGAGACTATTACATGTTCGACGATCTGGACGACGACGATGTCACCGACATGATCCCGGACGCCGAGTCCGAGAAGGAGGAAGAAAGACGTCGCGAGGAACAAGAAACCCACGGTCGAAGAATGACCATTACTGAGGTATGTTCCTGGGTCACTAAAAACCATAGAAAAAAAAATTCAAATTGTGTTTTTGAAGTGTTTACCACACGATTCTCTGGTTTGTCTGCAACGAACTTCGAACGACGAATACTCTATATGACTAATCCGATTTGGAGCGCTTGCAACCATTGAGAAAACACGTAAAGATCTCTCGAATACAACTATCAATAACGACCACACTCGACCCCCAGAACAGTTTTCAGTTTAGTCGAATTTCAACTCAGTTTTCCGTTTCGATTGAACCCTATCGATCATTCACAGCTGGGGTTGAACCGATTTTTGAGACTCTGTTAAAATTCGATTCACTCGCACCAGCCCCCACCCCCAAAAAAATCATAGCCGCTGACGACAATTTTCTACCCTCGTGTGCGCATAAATTCTGGCATTCTTGCATATATCCACCCCATCCCCCACCCCTGCCACCCCCAACGCCCTGTTCATTCGATTCTCTTGCCTACCCCTGGCCCGACGAGAAGAGACATCAAGGCAGAAAGAGAGAGAGAGATAGGCTGAGGAAGGCAAATCGTGGTCCAACGGGAGAACGAGAGAAATGACTTTATAAGGTCTGGTCGTTGCAGTTGATGAGCACGCTGATTAAGACAGACATTGAGATCGCGACGCACGTCGCCATGTACGGAGGAACGGAACAGGACGCGCTGAGACTTCGTCGTCGGAGCGTACCGTTGACTAGGAAGAAATCGTCTATGTCCTATCTAAGCGCACGTTCCGAGACCGACACCGCGATGGCCACCGATGTGAGATCCCCCATAAAAAAAAAAGGCTGCATGTCACTGCTACAGGCTCTCTATCTCACCTGTCCACCATTCTATCCTTCGTCATTTTTTTTTAATACTTACATACTATCTCTCTCTATCCTTCATCTCGACCATTGTTCTTTTAATTCTTCATTTATTATTATCCGCTCTTGTAGCCTTTGTATATCGTTGTTTCTAATATTTTTGTTGATCATCGGTGTCTACGTAGTCGTAGTTCTGATTTAAGTCTGTTAACAACTTTAGTTTAGCTTTTCGTTGTATCTTCAAATTGTACGTTTTTTTTCTTTTTTTTGTTCTTTTTATGTTGTACGTTGGGACGATGTTTTTTCTTTATTTTTGTCTTTTTTTTTCGTCGATTCGAACATACACACAAATTTCATCATGTACAATAATACACATACAAACTGGTGCGTGGAAAGTACGTATCTCCATCGTGTGCTATGTCTACCACACGATTTTCATGAACATTCAACACAATAATTACTCACACGAAACAGATGATTACAGCCACTAGTTATTACAGTGCTTATTACATACACAGACAATAATTACTCGTTTTTTTTTTTCATTTCGCATCTTCCAGCTTTGTACAAACGGAAGCGGTAAAAATCCTCCCGCGCCATTTCTGTTTTTTTGTACTTTTTTTTTTTTATTATGTCGTCCCTCCTCAATGTTGTAGTCACAGCGAGGCTCCTGCGTCGTTGGTGTATATAATCCGCTCGATATTTGGCTTAATTTGTTTCTCATTACGTTTACAGCAATTTTAGCACCGTAATCACACTCGCTTGTTATAACAATAATCTACGAGACCGAGGAGTCATATTATGGGTACGCAGAACTTGACACCGCCAAATAAAACGTTCATCGAATTCACATATTTTTTAATAGATTGTTTTATAAAAATTATTCGAAGATTCGTTCCATTCTCTTGTACATTATGATTTCCATCGATGGCGAGGACCTCAAGTTCTGTGTACCGGGAATTGGGGAGAACGAAGAACAACGGTAGAAATGATACATCTTTGGAACTAGGGTGGCGATAAAACAAGCCTCACGTCGGCCGACATCGAAACCGAAGAAAAAGAGGAGGAATCCACCGCAGAACCCGCCAAGACACCGGACCCGTCCGAGGACGGAGAAGCCAAGATCGACGAGATCGACACGAAAGAGGAAGAGAAAAAAGTGTCGTTCATCACGTACTTCAAGTTCTTGATCGTGATGATCAACAGCAGTCTGGCGTCAATGACAAAGTACCTGAATAGATTCTCGAGAGATTATAGATACATTCGAAAGGTTCTAGCCAAGGAAAAGAAGGTGCTCAAGGTACAAAACTGAATGAACCCGAAATCTTACCGGGCAAACTATGAAACGTGATCAGCTTAAATTAATTGCTTTGCTAATATATGCTTTAATTTTCAGGCGAAACCTGACTTTCGAATGGGTATGCGATTAGGTATCAATCAGATGTGGCAGCCGATACCACTGATGAAAACCAGGTGAGACTTCAGACCTGATCACAGTTAGAATCCTGTCTCTTTTAGCTTCTCGAATATATGCTCATAGATGCTTAGCTGTATCAGGATAGTGTTCGTGAGAGAAATGATTCGAAGGGCCCCAGTATACTGAGATCGTGTAGCTTTAGATTGTACCTCACGTTGACACGTAGCTTTGGTAGTGGTGTGCTTGCCCCCGAGTAGTCCATCCTTGACAGAAATGTTCCGAGAGAGAGAGACCCGTTCCCTTTGAAGAAGACGTAATCTTGCCCCTGCCAGTTAGGCTAGAAACTATACGGTAGAAGCTAGAGTAGTAAATGTGCTCGCTCTGACAGATCGGCAACTAATGGGACCACTGACGAGCGTTACGATCCTGGCGAGGGTCCCAGCCAGCCTCAATCTCAGGAGCAGAGGTAAGATTCTGTAAAAAAAAAAGTGCTTTGTTTCTTCCTGGTAGATATTAGTACTGCAATCCTTCTAGCTTGCATAACTTCCTACTAAATTCCTTTATCGACTTTCCCTTCGATTTACCAAACTATTGACAATACACCGAGGATTTAAAATAATGTTTGACACTTAGATTTCTACTACCGTTGAATTAAACTTAATTTAGTGGTCAAAGCAACTACCCCCACTATAAATTCCCACACGCGTTTGGCTGTATTATGACTAAAATCCATATACAGTAAATGCTGGATGAGTGTTCGAAGGCTCGTCGGCACTGACAAGGAGAGGTCTCCAGGTGTAATGTTGACAATGATGTTTGTTTTATATCACCCTCATATCACCATTAGTTTATGAAATATTTAATGCTCAGTGCCGGGGAGCCTTCGAACATTCATCAAGGATTTACTGTAGATAAAGTATCGATGACCTGGTATTTAAAGATGATGTTCGATGTACTCCAACTTACAATCATTTCCACGCAAAACCCGACCGTTGCTCTGTATCGAAACTCCACGAATCCTGTGCAGAAACGCGGTTCAGTTCCTAGAGATCCATGATGTCCCTTTTAAACGACAGGAATGCACTGAGAACGTGGTTTGAAGCCTTCCAGCGGCCTCCGGAAACCTCAGCGATTGCTTCATCGTAAGTCCCGTCCCTTTCCACTTCCATCATTTGCACCACATCCCATCCATATCTCTGTCATCTTGGACCAGTGCTGTGATCCTCCTCCAAAGACAGCACTGACTTACACGTGTAAAATGTGATATAAACGTAGAAAGAGAGAAGAGTATTGTTTTTGCCAGGAAAGGAAGCTCGCTGGCGGTCCCTCACATCCGCATCCTGGCGCCCAGTTTGGAGCGAGGATTGGACATGTCCTCCTCCAGGTATCGAGAATGTTTCGTTATAGTCTCACTCGGCTGTTCGATACACACTGTTTTGCACGCTACATCTTGCACGCAGAACGCCTACAATACTCCTTTCTCTGAACATATCGCATTCCATCTAATATTAATTCGTTTCACAACTGTGTCACTTTTGAAACTCATCAGAGATCATCATGTAGAGTAATAATCGAATTACGTTTTAGTTTTCATTTTCAGTTCCATGTACGGAGAGGATTTTCTAGTCCTCGGACTTGAGCTTTCGATGTGCTTTCGATATTAATTTCACACGAGGAAAGAAATTTTATTTTCTTTCTTCTGTGAATTGATATAGATCGTGTGAGGCGTTTCAATGTGATTAATATCAATGATTTTCTATGCAGCACACTTTTCTCCGAACTTTCGCCAGTACAACACGAGGACGAGGGCGCGGAACTGTCCGAGGTTGATCAACCCCCGATCATACAGTTGCTGGCGTCGATTTGGTTCGGGATACTGGCACACTCGAGTCTCCTCTGTTATTTCATGGTGTTCCTTCATCAAATTAAAAACGCCTCCGTTTTGTCCACCCCTTTACCACTCATGGTGTTCTGCTGGGGCTCGTTGACCATTCCACGACCCTCGAAGACGTTTTGGGTGACGTTGATCGCTTACACCGAAGTGAGACATGTTTGGTATTTTATCAAACGTTTATTAGAGGAAGCAACAATTCATTTAATCACGTTTGAACTTCTTCAGGCGATTGTTATAGTGAAATGCATTTTCCAATTGGAATTACTGCCATGGAACCGGGACGCTGCTCCAAATAATCCTCTTTTCACGCCCAGAATTATGGGGGTTGAACGGAAACTCAATTACGCTCTCTGGGATTTGTTACTCCTCCTTATGGTGTTCTTTCATAGGTAAACCCTGACCTAACGAAAGATCATGTAGAGATAGGAAGAGCTAATAATATGTCTGTTTCCAGGTTTATGCTCAAATCGTTAGGTCAGTGGACAACACCGTCCATCAAACCGAGAAAAATCATCCCTTCTAGTTTAACTATTGTTTCATCCAAGCCACCACCTGTGGATAAAGGTCAAGGGGAGACTGTGGCTGGACAAAACGAATCAGAGTACGTCAACTTTTAATAATATTGCAATATCTTTTACCGTGTCAGTATTCACGAAAAAGTATTTGTTGTCTTTTGCAGAAATACTGGTTTCGTTAATACACCTAAAGGAAGAAGATTAAGCATCAGTGCATCGGGCGATGGTGAGAATCAGCAAACTGCACAGGAAACGATACCTAATGAACACGAGAAATTAGTCGCAGTTCAGGGTGAAGAATTAAGTCCTCACTCGGAACACTTTCACAAAGCCATGAATATGACGTGAGCATTGGAATTTTAATATTTCGATATCGTAATTAATTTTACACTAATTTAATTAAATTTTAGAGTTGATAAGTACATGCAGCCGACCAAGCAATTCTTTGCCAAAATTGTTAGCCCTGTTGGCAAGGAGAAGACAAATGTGTACGCGTATATGTTCCTCTGCGACTTCTTCAACTTTTTGCTCCTGATTTTTGGATTCTCTGCGTTTGGTGTACGTGTTCCAAGTTCTAATAATTAATTTTTTCGTGATACCGATTGTTACGATCTTCTTACAGACGCAACAAGGCGACGGCGGAGTCACAGCCTATTTACAAGAAAATCGTGTCCCGATGCCTTTCCTGTTAATGTTGCTGTTGCAATTCGCGTTGATAGTCATCGACAGAGCCCTGTTTCTGAGAAAATCAATCGTAGGCAAATTGATCTTTCAGTACTGTCTAATATTCGGCGTCCACATCTGGATGTTCTTCATTTTGCCCAGTGTGACGGAGAGGTAATGCTAAAACTGAAAATTTCTAATTATTATTTATCATTCAAAACCGCGTACAATCGTAGGCAATTCAACGAGAAACTCCCGCCACAAATGTGGTACATGGTCAAGTGTTTCTACCTCTTGCTGGCGGCCTATCAATTACGACAGGGCTACCCGACACGCATACTTGGGAACTTCTTGTGCAAAAAATACAGCGTTGTCAACTACGTTCTTTTCAAAGGGTCAGAATATTTTTTTTTTTCATTTCTCGAAACTGAGAGAAGTTTCTTTCTAACTGTCAATGTATCCCTCTAGATTCATGTTAGTTCCCTTCCTGTTCGAGCTGAGAGCAGTGATGGATTGGATTTGGACTGACACTTCCATGACAATAATGGACTGGTTCAAAATGGAAGACATTTTCGCCAGCATCTATCAGATCAAGGTACATTGTATTAATTTTAATCGCAAAACCGATCGAAAATACACTGATGAATTACCTTTTGTAGTGTATGAGAGGGGTGGAGGCAGACTTCCCTCAGCCAAGAGGCGTGAAGAAGAAACAAATGAGCAAATATTTAGTCGGAGGTGGTGCTCTGTTCCTCATAATCGGCCTCATATGGTTCCCCCTTCTATTATTTGCACTCGGTGGCACGGTTGGTGACTCGAACCTACCATACGACGTTTCAATGAAAATACGAATCGGGCCATACGAGCCGATCTACTCAATGTCTGCTCAAACTAGCTCGATCGTCGGATACAGCCAGTCTGAATTCAAACAATTCACGAATTTATACGCAAAGGACAGGCCAGCGGTCACATTCCTGGAGAATTATATTCATTCGGACGTTGCTGCGGTGAAATTGAGCGGATTCTCCAGGAAGTTGTGGGGTATATCACCGCCAGACTTGGACAGGTAAGAAGTTTGTGAATGATTCATTATTTATTATAGAATAGTAACACATCATAAATTACGGATGAATTCTCAACGTGTTCTGTTTGACAAAAATAATATGAACTGTCGAGAAATAAAGTAGAAAATTATTACGAGATGTTTTTTTACTACAGACTAAAGACAGAGCTAGAAGATAACAGTACCACCGTCATCGTCCACGTGGAATGGACAGTTTCTCGAAAAACGTACGCGAAAGACGCGAACGAGGTGACAACGAAGCTACGGGATATTCAGTTGCCACCGTTCGTAAATGGAGAATTCAATCCCGTGAGGCTGAAACTAGCAGAAATGCTGTCGACCGATGACTCTACGCCCCATAATGGCGTGATTACGATACCGAACGCTTTCCCAAAGTTCTTGAAAGTGACCAGCCTAACAACCGATGTCGTTCCCCAATTAATGCAGCTAAGTATGTGATCAGATTCTTTTAGCTCGATGAACATGAATGAAATTTTTGGACTCTTTCACAGGATCGAGGACCGAGGAGGAAGGCGAAACAGACGATAGTTATCTATTCAGGAGCATCAATCTTCACTTGTCTACAGACGCAGCTTGTTGCGCTCGCCAGAAATGGTGGATCGTCAAAGAAGTGTGCACCGATGATCTGTACATTGGACGGCTGAAGAATGTGCCCCTGAATAGTTGTAACTATATCATGATGTTCTTGTTCAACGATAAAACATTCCCTAAGGAGCTGAGCTTCATCAGTGGCTTTGGGTGAGTCTAATTAAATTTTTATTTACATGAGTACAACAGGATATTCAGTCGGATTTCATAAGTCTTTATGAATCTTTTAATTTACTTTATTTTTGTTTGATAAATAGGGCTACTAGGTATATCGTGGTCTATGTATTTTCTACATCAATAGAAAATATAATTTGTACCTGGAAGAAGTTTTACATTTGAACGAGATGCAATAATGTGTTTATACTTCCACAGAATCTTAGGATTGTACACTACCGCGGTTATAGTCATAAGTCAAATGATGAGGAAGATAGTCAGTGACATGGCGCCAAAGATCATGTTCGACGATCTGCCCTACGTGGATAGGATTCTCAGGCTATGTTTGGATATTTATTTGGTCCGCGAAAGCGGGGAATTATGTCTCGAAGAGGATCTATTCGCCAAATTAATATTCCTCTATCGATCACCAGAGACGTTGATCAGGTCTTGTACCCAGACTATCAGATATTTTCTTCTTTTCTAGCTTCGAAGAAATCGACAGAACATTTAAATTATTTTGTAGGTGGACGAGACCACCTGAGGAGGGCGAACGAACTGATAACGAAGACCAGGATGAGGTTGAGGACGATAGGGATGAGTCTCGGATAGACTCACGTCGCGAATGAGTTATTGAAACGCGAGAAAATGGCGGAAAGCCGTGATCCTCGTCTCTAAGTTACACCGTGCAAAAGACTTTAAAAAAATGTTGCGACCATTATTATAGGTTATTCGTTGTTTAAAGAGGGAGAGAATTCTATGAGGAGACCATCGACAATTCGGAATGACAATAGATAGCGCGCACTTTCCGACAGTGACGCAAATATGAATGGCTTACAAACTTTTAGAAACTCAGGAATTTATGACTACCGTGTTTGTTGAGATTGTTCCTACCTTCAGAGAAGTTTAATATAAACGATTGTGTATATACATAAAAAAGGGGAGATGAGTAAAAGTAAGGAACAGTATGGAAGAAATTAACGCGATAAAAATAACAAAAAGAAAGAGTCTCGAAAATTCACAAGAAATACGGGGAACAACATTCTACCGTATTTATTTCACAATCGTACTATAAAGTTTTGTTGGTCTTTATTTGAATATTTATTATCAAGGAAGTTACTTATATACTATTTATTGATACACGAAGAATATTCCAATCATGGCACGATCAGTAACACGAGAAAATAATTTTGACACGAGTTGCTTTATACATTTCAGCGTCGCAGAATGATTTATCGTATCGTACTGGAGATAGTGTTCTTGTTTTCATTTATAATTTATCATAATTCACGGTTGAACCGATGTACACCTGCATTTCTAGCATGATGCATTTAAGATTGCAACTAGATTGATAAAAGTGCGAATGTTGAGTACTGAAGGATTAACAGTAAATCTCCAAACTGCCGTAATCACGATGTTTTGTTCTCTTTTGTACGTTTTCTAATCGTCGATCCATTTAAGTAGCTGTCATCCATGCATAATCTGGCCATTTTGCCAAGCGTTGCGCCAATTTTATATATTATATATCAATCACATTTAACAAAGATTTAACGTCACAAAGGAATCATTGTTTGTACATATACATTTTACGATCTGCATTTGACAAAGTATTGTATCATGTCGCCCTGATACGTCTTTTAAAAATATCTTCAAATATAAATTGTTCGAAACCGAGATCGTGCTATTTAATTTTCTTAACCACTACGTGGATGTTATTCTTTTAGGAAATATAAAACAATAATGGGTACATAAAGTAGTTTATTCAACGATTTTTTTTACAGAAAACGATTTACAAATTTCTTTAACAAATATATCAACGGCAAACCAACGCGAGATCAAACATTGGGGGACATTATTATTAAAGAACGGTAATATTTTTTAAAGATTAAAATATTAATAAAAAATATAGTCTTTTATTAATCTCAGTATACTCTGTATTACTTAATACATAACAGTTTCAAAAGGACTGTGTAGTTAAAACATGTGCAGGCAATAGAGTGGAATGGACACTTCATCAACAGGTTCCTCAGCACCTAAAAATACCCTAGGAATATCCTAGAGACAAAAGATCTAGTACTTAATACTATTATTTCAATAGCTCCTTACACTTCAGCTTTAATGCAAGATTTTCTTGCTTTAAAAACTCCAATTCCTCTAACTTCTTCTGCAATTCTTCATTTCGTTTTTGCAGAATAACAATATCCTCCTTTAATCTTTCATTGTGTTCCACTAAACTCCTTACTCTACTTGAATCTTTACTAGGATGCATTTCATTGACTAATTCATCCGTTTGGGACATCAAGTGCTTAATAAAATTTGCTTGAGCATTAAAGTGCAATTTGTGCATGGCTCTCAGAATTTTGGAGCTCTCCTGTTTTGTCTGCATGCTCACAATATCCTTAATGGCATTGAGCAAAGCTGCAGGATCACTATCCTTGGCAGCTGATTTATTAATGGACTCATAGGTTTTTGTTTTGTCCTTAGGGACTTCTACTTGAGAGGTACTTTCTTTCGAAGGGTCTGAAGGTCTACTGTTTTCTTTGACAGACAAATCTGATGCTTGATTGTTCTCCTTGCAACTTCCAGAACGGCGAATTCTATCTCTTCCTGTTACTTTACTTTCAGAAATTCTTACTCTTGTCTCTCGAACTCTTGCTTTGGTATCATCTTTAATTTCCTGCTCTTTGTCATCAGGTTTCACTTTATTTTCAATGGGCTTCAATTTGCTATCACTTATTCTCTCCCTCCTTTCTGACACCCTGACTTTCATCTGTTGCTTTCTAGTATCATGTTCTAATAACTTCTTTGTATCCTTTAAAGTAAATTCCTTAGCATTTGTTTGCTTTTCAACAACTGTAGCCTGTTCAAATTTATGATGCAAATTGTCTCCTTTAGTTGATTGTAACTGTTGCAGTGGACTGGATGTAGCTGTTCTAGTTGTTATATGCCGGTCTATTGAATGGGTCTTAACATTCTGAACATCTGTAGGTAATAGTTCCAAATCTTCCAAGAAAGAGTCATTCATTTTCCTCAATAAACTCGTATTCTCTTTCAAGAACAAGTGGTACACAATATTTGTGTACGTAGAAATATAAGTTTTCTAGGAACTTTGTATACAAGAAGTAATTACCAAAATAAAGTATATGAGAAAGTGTTCCTTAAATTCGTTAAACTCAAACGTGTTTCTTACTTATATCATATACTTATATTCATTGTACAGACTCAATAACCTTAATTACTTTGCACTAGTGAATCAGAAGTGCACAAATTTATTTACTGTGACACAGTCGTCGACAACATTACGAACACAAAGAGTTAAAAATAGCTACAATTCAGTGTTAACCTTCGGTTAATTACCGGATGTGAACTTCAACGTAGAACCAATTCAAATTAACTTGTTTAGTGAGTCAGCTGACATGGATTCGTTACTTTACATATCGCCATCTACATTATAAAAGTTACTGTTTGAATTCTGGGGTAACTTTGTTTCTCTCTCTATAGATGCACTTTGTAGAACTAAAATCGTGCTTATCAGTGCTTATAGTTAGTAATGGACACGTAAAACTATCCAGAACTTTACTTTTACTAGCTTTTACCCTCCAACCCTTGTATCTAAACAGAGGCGAAGGCGCGTCCATTTTGTCACTATGAGGAACGTGATACGGAGAAATGAACTTAGAGCATATTACAGAAAATACTGCAGATTCATTGAAAATGGAAAGCAAATAGTACTTCAAAATGTATTCTATCGGTAATAGGTTGTTTATTATAGTATCTGGAAGAAGTGTTTTTCAATAATAGTCATCTATGTGTCATCCACAGATGAGTAACGAACGAACTAATGTTTCAATCATTCTCCGTGGAGCTTCTTATTCGTCAAGTTCTTAAATTAAAACTTTAAAAATGCAAAATAAGTTCTAATAATTGTTAAATGAAAAATCAACAGCTGTATTAGTGCCGGATGGCGCCACTATTCACTCCTTTTTATTCTTGTCGAATGTCGCTGTTTCTAGCTACGCGGCCGCTAAGAAGCTATAATGTCCTTTGCCCAGGAATTACCTGTACCTTCAGAAACCCTTGACTAGTAATAATTTTAGCATTTTTTTTGTTGTAGAATTGATGTCATAGACCACGAAAAACAATTTTTGATTAACGTCAATACTGGGACTCGTTAACATAACGCGAAGGATTCAGGGAATTAAATCGTTTGATCCATTGCATTGGTAACATTGATGAACTTGTTTGAAGATTATTTTTCCGCCGGGTCATGATAATCGGATTATGATAATACTGGGTCATGATTAAGCCGAATGAATCTTTTATTTAAACGATGTTCCATAAGATTCGAGTAAACCTTACATTTTATATAAATTACTTAAATAATTCACTTATATATTCATGTTTTGTGATTTCATGTAATAAGGGTTGAAATATAAGGACGAGTCGCTTAGAGAATGTATTACAAATGAAATATGGGAATTTTATTGTATAAGAGTATCTGCTTAAGAATCGGATACAATCGCTTTTCTGGGTTTATTTGAATCGCGAATGGAATATTAGAGATTTGTTATATGATTAAAATATGAATACCATGGAAATTTTTAAACAGTGAAGCGTGAGGAATCATAAAATAAATAAGGAATTTTTTTTATCGAGTCTGTGGGAAAGACGTTGCTGCGTTGAAGGAGGAAAAGAGACACACGCTATAGTTCACTGTTTGATAACATCGCACAAAATACGGGAAGCACGTTGGATCCCCACCACGGTATACGCCTACCTACGAGCACGCCTTATATATAGTCTTCGAGAAAACAGCGAATAGTCGCAGTTCTCTCTTATCGTTGAAGGGGAAAGTTACGGTTACGGCTTGTTATTACTTAATAGAAAGAATGAGGAAAGTGGTGCCGGTTTTACAGATTCTCTTCCTAATCTCACTTGTGATTGAGAATGTAAGAGGTTTTACAAATGTGTACCCAAAATTGAAGAGCTATCCCGTTTCGGCTGATGTAGATGTTGGTGAACCACTTTTTTTAACGCCGTTAATTGAAAGCGGTAAAATAGAATATGCTCGTAACAAAGCTGTTGTACAACACAAAGAAATGGAAGACATCGGCAGTTATGCCGGGTATTTTACCGTGAATAAAGAATACAATTCGAATCTGTTCTTCTGGTTCTTCCCAGCTGTGGTACGTAATACTAATAGTATTCTGTTCGATTTGTATTTACTTTTACTGTTTTCGATTCGAGTTAAGTCTTCTATAATTTAGAAACTCTATATCGACAAAAAAAAAATAACCTTTATTTTAAACAGCACAACCCAAAAACTGCGCCTATAGTATTATGGCTACAGGGTGGTCCTGGGGCTACATCCATGTATGGTTTATTTATGGAAAATGGTCCATTTTTTGTTAATGCTAACAAAACCCTTCAAAAGCGCAAATACTCTTGGAATCAGTCTCATAATCTATTGTACATTGATAATCCTGTTGGTACTGGGTTTAGCTTCACTGACAATGATAAAGGATATGCTACTAATGAAACACACGTGGGAAGGGATGTTCATACTTTATTGGTTCAATTCTTCCAAGTATTCCCAGAACTTCAGGCTAATGATTTCTTTGTAATTGGTGAATCTTATGCTGGAAAGTATGTGCCTGCTGTATCGCATGCTATCAAAGACTTTAATATCAAAGCAGAAACAAAAATAAATTTGAAGGGTTTAGCAATTGGGAATGGACTTACTGATCCAGAAAATCAGTTATTGTACGGTGATTATTTGTATCAATTGGGATTAATTGATGCAAATGGAAGAGATTTGTTTCATAAGTATGAAGAGCAGGGTAGAAGTTTGATTAAACAAAAGAAATTTGTGGAAGCCTTTGATGTGTTTGACATGCTTCTTGACGGTGACTTAATTGATCATCCTTCGTTGTTTAGAAATTTAACTGGGTTTGATTTCTACTTTAACTACTTGCATACCCAAGACCCAAGTGACTCTGACTCTATGGCACAATGGATTCAAAAACCAGATGTAAGAAAAGCTATACATGTTGGTAACTGCACATTCAATGTTGAAGCCACTAAAGTAGAGGAACATTTGAAAGGGGATATTATGCAGTCTTTGGCAGTTCTCATAACAGATCTAACCAAACATTACAGAGTTTTAATATACAATGGTCAGCTTGATATTATTGTTGCATATCCCCTGACAGAAAATTATTTACGAAACCTCGATTGGTCCGGTGCTGAAAAATATAAAACAGCTCCGAGAAAGTTATGGTTGGTTGGAAAAGACTTGGCAGGCTACACAAAAACAGTCGATAATTTAACAGAAGTCTTAGTAAGAAATGCTGGGCACATGGTTCCTTTTGATCAACCACAGTGGGCTCTTGATCTTGTTACTCGTTTTACACATAATAAGAAGTTCTGAATACTTTTATAAAGTATTTCAGTGGGAACGTGTGTACGATAACTTATCGTGGCTATGATTACACTTTAGTAGCTGTAAACGTGGTTATATAATAAGAATTTACGAAAGTTATGTATACTTTGAAAACGAACCTGGAAAATACATTTGTACTCAATTTTTTAAGAATCGAATTAGTAAACGTTTATTGATAATAAAAATACTATATAAATGTTTATTATTGAGCTGCCCCTTACAAGTCATTTGTCTTATTTGTATATAGAGGTATTTGTTTGTTTAGGTACTATGACTTGATATTTTATTATTAGATTATTAGAATCCTTAATAAGCATCTTGTAATATGCATAAAAAAAAATTCAGTCACACCAATTGTCATGAACAAGACAGATCTCAGTGACTGTTGAAGTTTCCTCCATGTCACGGGGTAATGATTAATTCTATGTAACTTACAATAGACTACATTAATCTAGATATGGCAGTAAAAAATCGTCTACTATAGATACATTTTTGTGCCATTCAAAGTGGGGAACATTAGGTACTGTAATGAGAGTAAGTCTATGACTCTCATCCAGTGCCTTTAATCCAATTAAATCGTCCTTATAAATCGATCTATCACGCATATGTACCACTGTCTCGTTGCTATCGTAGTATCCGAAGTGACTACTTTGCCAGGGTGTGATTACGCCGTCGTCAGGACCTCCAACGAGTATCATACGTTTCAATTTGGTGATACCTTGTGTAAACGACATAGCTTTTGTCGCATTTCTTTCGTTGTTCACGAGTGGAAGAAATTTACTATACTTGTAATACAATTCCTGTCGAATAAAAACAAAAATATAATCTTCTACTACAAATAATTACGAAAGCCTACCAACCTGATGGTGAGGATCATTCCAGTAATTGCCGACACTAGTGTGTTGACCGATTTTCGAATAAAAGAGCTCGTAAGCAGTTTCACACACCAAATTTGGGAAAAATAAGTGTAAGAATCGAGCTGTAAACGGAAATAAGCGTTTGAAACAACAATTTTCTTTGTCTATCTTCAAAGATGGCGCCAACGACACATACTTCCGTATTGTCCTGCCTGCGGCGAACTTAAGGAGATGAAGTTCCTGACATTATGGTCAGGAAACCTTTGTAATATAGCTCTAGCTAATAAGCCACCTTGGCTATACCCTACTAAATGTATTCCCTCGGGAAATGCGGCACCGATAGATATAATATCCATTCCTATCTCTTCTACTTGTCGCCACATCGGCTCCAGGCTGTTCCATCCTGCGTATCTCGGGGTATTGTAAGTTTGAGTTCCAGGATGCATCTAAAACGTAGATTAAACAACGATGGGTATAGTAGTGGTCACAATATAGCAAGGTCGTAAATTAAAGAATTAATGGCACTTATTGATGTCGTTCCACTTAGAGCTATATACTGCATTTTTCGCTTCAATGTATTATATACAGTACATTGACTTTGTATTAAACATTTCTTCGTACGGCCTTGACAGAGATTTCAGATCCTTATCAGTTCATGACTATGTATTAATTTATTCATTTTATTAATTCACTTGTGCTGACACCAGAAACATGTTTACATTAACTCCACTGATTTTACGACCTCGCTAATATATATATATATATATACACGTAATCATGTTTACCCGCCAAATTTACGCAGGTGCGACATCTGCAATATTCTTTGTGTTAAGTGAATTGATTACCTCTTGTATCCTGTTGGTAATAATTTCCATGCTGTCGCTTCCAGTGAGCACACCATGTATAACAGCGACGGCACGATAACATTCAGCAACATTACTAAATGCAGTTAAAAGCCAGAGGAAGAAAAGAATTGATCTACAGTTTGATGAAGACATCGTTACTCGATGTAAACGAGTCATAGACTCATACCACCTTCAACAACATCGCGTCATGTCGGACTAAAGTCTCATCTCTATTGCAACGACCATATAATTCTGAAGTCGTTTCTGATTGGAGCGGCAGGATACAAAGCCAGTTCTCCGTTTGCTGCTCCATTGAGAAAGCAGCTTTAACATCGATTTCATGACCGGAACATGAACGTCACCTACCGAGGGCTCCAGAGAACGACTCATCTCCGTCGAACATGAAGAAAACTTGTTTATCAGCGACTAACTAACGCTGCTCTCGAACACAAAAAAGGAAGTACATATGTCTGCAGGGATATAAGTTCATTCCCATCTGCAGGCAATGCCAAATCAATTGCAAAGGGCATTTTCTTCATAAAAACTAGAGCTCCTTAAGTGGGAGCGTTCCATAACTGAAAATGATCAGGATTCATCAGTATGATAGGGTCAATGAAGACGAAAAGACCTCTATTGCACCCTGAAACAATGTGCTATGGAATGCACTAGGTCCTTAATCCTTCCAGAACCGCGTGTAAGGTGGCTAGACACGTGGCATTTCCCGTGCTTGCTTCAACCATATATCACCGGTGTCCTGACATCACCCCTAGTTGGCATACGAAACTCACGCCTCAGACGATGGAGCGCATTGTTCCGACCAGCGTCACCCTCTATTATAACGCCACTACTTCTTAAACGCATATCACTCCCCTTCAATGACGAATAGAATTCACTCCTTCAATAAGGAAGAAGACTTTACAAGAATGCGCCTACAAACGACAATTTCAACGAATTGTACATTACCATGACAGAGAAACAAAGAAATGGATGGATATTAACAGAAGCCACATTAATTGTACAATCAGTTCCTGATAAACAGTACAAGGGACCAGAGGTTATCGTTATAGGAACATTATCCAAGTGAAACCATTGACGGACACTTAACCGTTGTATGCGAAGCGGAATTCGATCCAGCAGTGTATTAAGATGATTAAATGGACAGGTGTACCGAATGTTCCGATTGCACCAAGAAGTTGGAACAAGGTACAACAATTTAACCCGGGAGGAATACCTGGGAACGAATGTGCTCACGTGCTTTCTGATGTCGCATGCTCGCTCTAATCGAGTCCCCCCAGAAGCTTTGAAACTACCGGCGTTTCTTTTCGCCAGAAGAGGGAAAGAACCGAATGGGGGAGAAAAGAGAACGAGAGGAAAGACGGCCAATCCAATTCCACGCTCAAACCCGACCATCGTGATGGTGGAGGATGGCGAAAAAACGCAGCCACGACCAGAGAGCGAGGCAAGGCGAGTGTAGGTCTCTCGGAGCTTTTTTGCGTTTAATCAAGGATATTCGCGGTCGGCTGACTCGCTATTTTAGTCCACCAAGTGCTAACCGAGGCGCGCAACCACTAGCGAGGACCATACTCGCAGGAAGTGGATGAAGGAATCTTCGTCCTTTGACCCCGCAGGGACGCTCCTACCTATCCTCCGGTATTTCAACACGAGTTACGGACTATTTCTGCAAACTATACTCACTATATTTTTAGTTTGCATCGTGAACTAATTAATTGGATTCGTAAATTGGATAGAGGTTTATATTCGATCTTAAAAGCGCTGTACGCAACTTCGGAAGTATTCAAGAAATGAACACCATCCCTGCGTCATTAATTCACGCGCTTAGGGGCATACGCCAGGCCAGCAATTCAGCTTCCGGTTTTGTACATTCAAATGTACACAACGCGCACGACGGAATGAACAGGGGCAACGAGTTAATGTTTGCAAAAATATGCAGGCACCACGACGAGTTTATGTTTCACCGTCCTGACGTTTCCTTTTTTTTACGTCCCGGAAGAGTTACCGACAGAGTAACAACCACTCCGTATGAAAATATCCTTCGCCGCGAGAAGAAGACCCATTTTCGATGCAGACCGTCCAGAACGTCCATTTTGGTGGGGGTACTGACCACATTTTTCGGCCGCGCCATTTTCCACCAGGAATCATGGATCCTCTTTATTCGAGAATCGACTCGAGGAGGCTGTTTAAGGCCACCCTCCAGCCTCCGTAAGTACAGAGGCGGGTAGAGAAGACGAAGTGGGTGGTACGGTGTCGGAGGAACGGCCGGGAGATTAGCGTTAATTACAGAGTTGAGCCGTTCCGGGGTTGGGACGAGGCGCGAGGTATTTGTCACTCGGCACTGCTCTCGACTCCCGTTCCACGTTCTGAATATTAATAACCCCGGCCACCGTGCCTCGCCACCTCCCCTGCCCGTCCTCTTTCGTGCCCACCCTCTTCTCCTCGCGTCTCCTTTCGCGACATCCGATGAATTGCACGGCAGACAACGCTACTCATTATGCTGACTGGTTGATTTCATCACCGTCACCGGCACCGAAAAATTAATCGTCCTCTGATCACGGAAGAAACGAGAAGATCAGTTTCCCGACGAATTTCTGGCCACTGGCTGACTCGACCACGATTTCATCATCGTTGATATTCAAGAAACATTTTATACCCGATGGTACTACACGTGACGTCTACTTGTCCATATTCATAGCTTCTGGTCTCAAGACAGTCTTCTCCTAACCCATAACGTTTCCCAAAAATTGAAGGATGGCACCTTCGGCAGTCACCTCGCCCCATCCACGGTGTGCACGTCGATCAATCGATATCATCCTCTCCCGTCCTTTCTGCGGTTGGTCCCTCGATGGCGGTCCCATTCCCGCGCAAAACGTTCAGATATTCAAAGTCGGGGATAGGAGGGGGGAATAGTTTATTCATGGCCGGCTCGGAGAACTTAGAAAGATATTGGAAACGGCCCAGGAGAGGGTGAAAGATAGAAAAAGAAACGGTTGGAAGCCCGAGAAAACGGGAATCCGTGGGGTGGAGAGCGAGAGAGACCGTTAGGGGGGTGAAGAAAGAGACGAGCGATATTGGTCGGACGGAAGTGTCCCCTCGGGGAAACGAGAAAACGGGAGGAGCGTCGTCTCTCCCACCCCCCTATTTCCCCCGATCCGATAAAGCGAAAGAGGGACCCCCTTGTGGCACGACCACCACTCCTACGCCTTGACCCACGTGACAGCGAGCCCGCCAATAAAATTCAAATAAACTCCGCCGTGCATACTAAATTATCACATCTTCCATTACCCGACCGCGTGTGCCCATCCCCAAACGACCTCTCTGCTGGTCTCGAGGAAACGTTTCGCCATCCTGTCGAAATTCCAATATTTTTTGACTTTCGCTCCCCACCGGTGATAGAAGAACACGCCGATCCAGATATTCCTTCGGTGTCTCGAAATGTTCCTGCTTCGGGCCGACGGTGGAAATACCTTAAGACTATCTGGAGAACATACGTCAATTTTTTTTTTTGCAAAGATATACTGTATAATTGATCGGGTAGATCAGAATTTAATCTGTTTTGTCTGGACTGACTGAAGAAACGGGGGATTGTGAACGATCCGCGAAAGCGTGTTTCTACTGTTGCTCGTCGTCTTGAGGACAGTTAAAAAGAGTGAATATCCCCTGACACTGACAAGAAGGGGTCCCTAGGTGTGACGCTGATTTTTTAAGGAGGTTCAGCACTGTGGGAGAGCTTTTAATTCGCAACCCAATGATATTTGTTTCAGCTGTATATGGCTATTAGTTTATGAAATATTTAATGTCCAGTGACGAAGAAGCTTCGAACACTCATCGAAGACGTATTGTATATCAGGAACTCGTAGACTGTGACGACGTGTAACTGTTGCTATTAATCCGCCATGGTGGGATTCCTGCCGAGAACACGGGAATGACTCGTCCAGGAGGGTCCAGCGGTGCTGATGAAGGGACGGGAAAGGTCAGGTGGCCTTTCCCAGGAACGCCCCAGATTTCAACATTACTCAAGAAGGATCAACCTGCCAGGACGAGGGCCATTGTTCGCCATCGCGCTGCCGAGTTTTCTTCCGCATCGACGGTACACCCATATCCTTGCGGTTCGGATACAACGCACAATTTTCTGTCCACGGAACGTGTCAAATGTTCCGTACATTTCTTCGCGTATAAGCATGAGTAGCTCTACTCTTATACATATTTCTAACCAATTATGTCAGAATTAATTCGGTGTGATTACCATTGAGCTGGAAAGGATTTTCAAAACGAGTACCGTTCGTGTTTTCGTCGAAGCTTCATCGCGCAGCAGACGGTACACTGTTCCAATTCGGTCGATTTCTTTTTTTAGCTGAGTTTAAACGCGTTAAGCTACAATTAGTAGCTCAGCCGTACCCCTGTCCCCCCCTATCAGCTTGTCTACGCCCCGACTATTAGTATAATCGTTGGAGGCTACGACCCTTAGCCACCCCCGGGCGGTTCACTTTAATTCTTAGCAAGTTAGAACCCCCTCTCCTCCTTGCCCCCGCGGACTTTGTTCTCCGTTCAGCTTCCTCTTTGCCACTCGATTCCAATACTAAATACCGAGTATCAACTGAACTTAGCTACCTGTTAAAAGAGACTTTCCAGTAACGAAATAGGGTATTATTCGAGAATCGCTCTATAAAAGAATCGCTAAACGAAACATGTGTAAATATTGTTGTTTTTCACAGGGCAATTGCCCGAAACGTTCTCTCTTTCGATACGTCGAAAAATGAATGTAACGTTCCGCTCCGTGTCTAATTGATTTTTTTCCTGGCGTAGGGGACCATGATACGAGCCCCCTTCAGGGGTGAACTTTCGGACCTCGAGCCCACCCTTTTGCATTATGGATGCACCTGATTTCACACTTGTTCGTTCGCACTGGCGAACTACGGGCGTCGTAACGTCTCCATCGATACAAAACGGACCGCAATTTGCTGGCCCATTGTAAACAATCCCCCCTTCCTACGTTTCGCCTCGATTCATGGGTAATAAATCCTGGTCCCGGGATATATGGTGAATTTATGTTTACGAAAAGCCCAGTCCCGGAGTGTCCGTGGTCGGAGGAGGAAGGGAGGGCAGCCCGTGAAAAATTGTGACGAAAGTTCGGTTCAACGTCGTCCTGAGCAGTAGGTGAGT